AGCTCATCCTTGGAAACAACAGGTTTCTTACCCTGATAACCTGGAAGATCGTGCTCCTTCACTCCCCTGTCGTACTTGCTGGACCAGTTGGGGGCTCGCTCAAAGCCATTGATGGCGAACTGGTAGTCCACAAAGGCCTTCTGGATGCCTTCTCTGCTGGTGGCCACAAAGGGCCCATGCTGCACAATTTCCTGCTCAAGCACCTTCCCTCCAACAAGCACAAACTCAGCGCTCTCCTTTGCGTCTTTGCCTACTCGCCCAGCAACACCATCGCCATCTCGCTCAAAGAACACACTGTTGTACTGGGGGATCTTCACACCATCCACCACCAACGATCCTCCCAACACATACATGAACACATTGAAGTCGCTGGGAATGGCCTGCTCAAAGTGTCCACCAGGCTTCACTGTGTAGTGGTAGTAAACCACTGGAGTGTAGGCCAACTCTTGCACAGACTGCACACCATACGACTCGCCACTGATCACCTTCACCTCCACCAAATCGCTAGGCCTGGCAATGGGGATCTCTTCTTTCTTCAAGTCTCTGTATCGAGGCTCGCACCCCTTCATGTTTGCCGGCAAGTCCACCCACAATTGCATGCCCACACAAGGGCTCTTGTCGTCCATCTCAACAGGAATCTCGCTGTGCACAACTCCTCTACCAGCCGTCATGAACTGCAAATCGCCAGCATACAACACTCCCGACGAGCCTGTGAAATCTGCGTGGGCCATGGCTCCTCCCATGATGTACGAAATGGTCTCCTGGCCACGATGAGGGTGTGTGGGAAAGCCGTTGGGAGCAGCAGTGTTGAAGTGGTCCAACATCAAAAAGGGTGTGAAGTTTCTCATCTGCATTGTTCCAATGGACCGACGAACCCTGGCTCCAGCACCTTCGGCTTGTTCCATTGCCAAAAAGTATTTCAAAATTGATCTTGGGTTCATATTGTTGTTAATTGAGTGTATATTGAACTGAATAAGAGTTGACTGAATAAGAGTTGACTGAATAAGAGTTGACTGAATAAGAATTGACCGAATAAGAATTGACCGAATAAGAATTGACTGTATTGATTGATTGCTTCAATTGATTGATTGCTTCAATTGATTGATTGATTGATTGATTGCTTTAATCAATAAATAGTTAAATGCGATAATTTCAAAATATCCACTTGAAATCTTCGATCGAATTTGGCCGCCTTATATATGATTTCAATGCACTAGTCTCTGTCAGTTAGAATACAATTGCAATACTATCACAATACTATCGCAATGAATGGATCAGTAATATATTATTAAGAATGGAAATGGAAGCATTAATAATACATCAATAATACATCCCTAATCGAGTCGCAATGCATGCTGCAGCAAGCGTCGATGACCAGATGTGGCCGTGATACACCACAGACAGTGGAACACACCGTGCGTGATGTGTCAGGATCGGATAAGCACTGCACACAATATCTGTTGTTCATCACGTGCAACACCCGTACATTTATGTGGACACAGATGGGATTGGAAATACAATAGGCATAATTGGGCAATCAGATAGTCAATTAATAATAAGCAATAATACCATAATAATACCATAATAATACCATAATAACATAAACAGAATTACAATACATTATATATAATTATACATTATATATAATTACATAATGTGTAATCGAGAATATAGTCTCGAATAGCCTTGAATAACCTAAACAGTCAACAATATCCATTCATTCGCCCCTTCACTCGTTCGTTCATCACTCATCCAGTCATTCTGTGATTCTCTCCATCACAGGGTATTATTTATGTAGACTTCTAGGTTTTGCGTTGGCACTTGCAACTCCAGATATCCATGATAACTGTATCAGTTGCAACCATTCAAACTACACTCAGACTGTATCAGTGGAGCTATGACAAAAGTATACAATTCATCCATCACAGCTCCGAAAGGTGAAGGGTCTATGGGCTAGTGCGTTGTTGAAACGAAAAGCAAAGCAAAGGCAAAAAAAGCCGGGCAGAAAGAAAATAGCTCAAGCAAGATCACTTGTTGCAATGCTGGCCCACAACACTATTGATACAGGCACAGTACAAATTCCTTTTTTCTGACTTTCTTTTGTCTATTTTTTCAAGTTTTCACTTTCGATGTTCCCACTCTCTGACACATTTGTACCCGTCCTGCAAAGGTGGATGCTGCAGCTTTCCAAAATTGCGGGTTATGAAAGTCGTAGCCAAGTTATTTCCACCTACTTGGATGACCACGCAAGACACTGCATTCATCCGCGGTACTTAAGATCGGAAATAGATAACTCGGTGGTAACTGCCCCAGTCTTTTTTCACCTCAATTGCTTAAAATTTATTTCAAACCCTTTCTGGTTTTCATTTCCGGCTCAGTTTTTTAATGACACTCAGCTTCACCAGCTTATCAACTTATCATTTTTGCTTATTCAACTCATTTTGCTGCTATATTCAATCCACAAGCTTAAATATATATTTTGGCTGCTGGTGAGAACTTGAATTGATAACAATGTTTGTCGATAAATCAAATGGCCTGGTTTTTGTCCACCCTACCGTTTTTGAGTCAAATTCCTCATCGCTCTTCTCATGTCCTACCTCTTTATATCAAATTATTGTTCCAACAAATGAAAATGCTTTGAACCCCTGCTTTTTATTAAATTTTCAAGTCTATTTTGATGTGCTTTTTGCTTTGTTTTCCTTTATTCAATTTGTAAAATTGGTTACCAGTTCACAAAAATTGAAATTGAAATATGGAAATATACCCAATTACAACATTTCTCTTAACTTAAAAGATATTGGTTTTGCTCAATTTTTAAAAATCATATTGGTTTTAGCTCAAAGCTTCTTCGGCTTTCTTGTATTTCATTCCTCTGCTGATTTGACCTTCACATCGTTTCTTTCACTGTTCTTATACCTTTTTTTTTTTGCTTTGCCTTTGCATATAATCGAATATTACCAATCAACTGTTCCTTCAAGTTCTTTACTATTATATTGGCTAATCAACTCAATTTATCTTTTGATTTTTCCCATTCAAAGATTTTATACAAAATGGCCGATAATTTACCCCTATGACTACCACCTCATTAATATTCATAATCTCGAGATTTTTATGGCAACAAATTCTTTAATCATTTTTGTTTTAGAATTGCTCTTTTGGCGTCCCTATTATAAATTGATTCAATTTCACCATTTAAATCAATTGGAAGTAAACAACATCCATATCTTCTCTCGTTTATCTTACTCATGGATGAACCCATTAATAATCACAGGTTATAACCAAACTTTATCTCATGATGATCTACCTCCTTGTCCAGAAAATATTAAATGTCAAGTCTCAACTTCTCATTTCAAAAACAACTTGAACAAACAATTTACCAAAAATCATAATAATAAATCCATCAATTTCTCCAAGTTTATATTTGATACCGTTGGCATTGATGTGATTCTTGTTTCAATGTTGCAATTCATTAATGTCACTGTATCTTTTATTCAGCCTCAACTATTCAGACTATTCATGGCTTTTTTTTTGAAAAGAAAAGTCAGCATAATATATAATCAATTTGCCTTTGATTTTTCTCAAGATATCAATCAAAATTTAAACAACGAAGCTCAAGACGATCAAGGTCTTCCCATTATTGCCGGTGTACTAATCACTATCGGCATGCTTTGTGTTTCTTTAATTACAACAATTTTATCCAACCAGTATTTCTATAATATTTTCCAAGTTGGGTTTAAAATTAGATCCGGTTTATCAGGCCTCATCTACGATAAAGCTCTTAGACTCGCTCCAAATAATGACAAAATTAAAAAATCCAGTGAAATTGTCAACCTTGTATCAGTCGATCTCTCTCGAATCCAAATGTTTGTTCTAAGAATGGAAGTACTAATCTCTGCCCCTCTCCAATTCATATTGTGTATGATTTCCCTCTATGATCTAATGGGCAATTCGGTTTTTGTTGGTCTTTTGCTCGTGCTCTTCATTGGTCCATTTAATGGCGTATTAATAGCTGGGTTTCGTAAATTGTTTGAAAAAAACATGAAAAATAAAGACTTGAGAACTAAAAAAGTCACTGAAATTCTATCCTCAATCAAGAGTATAAAACTTTACTCTTGGGAGCTGCCAATGCTTGAAAACTTGAAAAACGTTCGAAATAATATGGAGCTAAAAACATTAAGAAAAATTGGTGTTTTTGCAAGTCTTTTAGAGTTTTCCTGGTCTTGTTTTCCATATTTTGTTTCTTGTATTTCTTTTGGGTTTTTCTATTATTTTAAGGGCGAAAAGTTAACATCCGATATCATATTTCCAGCCTTATCTTTATTCCAAATCTTAAGAGGATCATTATTTATGCTACCGGCAATCATTACTGCTTTAATGCAAGTTTCAGTTTCTGTGAAGAGAGTTAGTGAATTTTTGGTTTCAGAAGAAACTGATCCGGATCTTATAGTCAAGTTGTCAAGGGTAAATCATTCCGGCGAAGTATCTGTTGAAATTACCAATGGAACATTTTTATTTAATAATAATCAATCAAAAGATAATAATAATAATAATAATAATAATAAAACTGATAATGTTCAAGAAAATAATACCTCAAACAACGGCAAAAATATTAAAAAAAAAGTTGATGATGAAGAGGCTCAATTACTTGAAAATACAATCCCTGAAAGAAAAGTTGCATTGTCAGATATTAACTTCACAGCAAGAAAAGGTGATTTAACATGCATAGTAGGAAGAGTTGGATCCGGAAAATCAAGTTTTTTAAAGGCTATTCTTGGGCAACTCCCAATGGACAAAAATCAAAATACTGATTCAAGGTTAGTTATAAATGGTTCAGTGGCTTACTGCTCTCAAGTTCCTTGGATTATGAACTCTACCATTAAGCAAAATATTCTATTTGGTCATAAATATGAAGAAGATTTTTACCAACAAACAATCAAAAGCTGTGAATTGCTTTCAGATTTGAAAACCTTTCCAGATGGTGATGAAACACAGGTTGGTGAAAAGGGAATTTCATTGTCTGGAGGTCAGAAAGCTAGAATCTCTCTTGCTAGAGCTGTTTATTCAAGAAGTGATATAATATTATTGGATGATGTGTTATCTGCAGTTGACGCACATGTTGGTAGAAAGCTCATCGAGCAAATATTTTCCTCAAAAGGATTATTAAATACCAAGACAATCATTTTATCAACGAATAATATTAAAGTTTTAAGAGAGGCTAAGTGTATATATTTTCTTAAAGGAGGAAAAATTGTACAATTTGGAGATTATAATTCATTAGTTGAAAGTGGCAGGGAATTTTTTGACTTGATACAAAATTCCGATTTTTCTAGTTCAGCAAAAGAAGATGTATTTCAAAGTAACTTAAAAACTAGTGATACTGATGAGGAAATTGATAGTACTGATGAACCATTTGGTGAAGAGATTAGAAGAATTCCTACTACTGTGACTGTTCGTAGAGCTAGTGTAGCAACTATCAAAAGGGAATCCAAAAGTGGTCAGATTGATGAAACATCACAAAAAGGAAAGGTTAAATTGTCGACATATATTGCTTATGCAAAAGCTGCTTCTTACTCCGGAACATTTTTGACCATTTTTTCTTGTATTATGACTGTTGTAATTGATCTTTTTAGTAAATTATGGTTGAAAAAATGGGCAGAATTGGGTGATAGTGGAGATTCGGATGAAAGTAATCTTTTTTTGGTTTTCATTTACACATTGCTTGGATTTTGTTCTGGACTCAATATATTTATTGGCTCACTTATTTTATGGTATATTTCAGCCATCAATGCAGCAAGAAAATTGCATGACGATATGGCAAATTCAATATTGCATTCACCAATGTATTTTTTCGAAAGTAACCCAATTGGTAGAATTTTGAACAGATTTACTGAAGATATTAACAAAATTGATGAGGTCATTCCAAGGTCATTTGAATCATTTTTTGTTTGTTTTATTGGTGCTGTATTTATATTAGGTGTTATTGGATTTAATTTGCCATCTACATTAATTTTTATGGGTGTATTGTCGTTGGTTTACTATTATTATCAGATATATTACATTGCAACCTCTAGAGAAACCAAGAGATTGTCTAGTACTTCAAGAAGTCCAATTTATTCTCATATGCAGGAATCCTTAGATGGGCTAGAAACAATTCGAGCATTTAATCAGGAAAAAAGATTTATAATATTAAATAATCTCAATCTTGATTACAACCTTAGAGCTGCATATTCTCAGCTTTCAGTATCTAGATGGTTAGATTTTAGATTAAATGTATTGGGTGCGATGATAATTTTTATGACAGCGATCACTTCTGTTCTCTCGCCATCAAAAAGATTGGGAGCTGGATTAGTTGGTATTTTAATGACATATGCTTTGCAAATTACTAATACTTTGAATTACTTGGTAAAGACTGTTGTTGAATTGGAAACTAATTGTGTTGCAATTGAAAGAGTTTTAGAGTATAGCAGATTGCCAAGTGAAGCTCCATATATTATTGAGGGTAATAGACCACCAAGTAATTGGCCCGAAAAGGGAGAGATCAAATTTCAAAATTATACTACAAAATATAGAGAAAACTTAGAGCCTGTTTTAAAGGAAATTACTATAGATATCAAAGCCCAAGAAAAAGTTGGTATTGTTGGGAGAACTGGAGCTGGTAAATCTACATTGACACTTGCATTGTTTAGAATTCTTGAAGCCAATGGTGGTAGTATTTTGATTGATGGAATTGACATTAAAACTCTTGGGTTGTATGATTTAAGAAGTAGATTGAATATTATACCCCAAGATTCTCAGGCGTTTGAAGGATCAATCCGTCAAAATTTAGATCCTTTTAATAAACATAGTGATGAAGAACTATGGAAAGCTTTAGAATTGGCTCATTTGAAAGAACATGTATTAACTATGGGAACTGATAAACCTGAAAATGGGGATAACGGCAATCCTTTTAATGAAACTACTATTATTACCAATGGTGATAGCAGTACCGATGCCAATACCAATAATAGTGGTAATAGGGATGATGACCCGAGCGAAAATAATGGCAAGGGATTAATGGCAAAGGTTACAGAAAATGGAAAGAACTTGTCAGTGGGACAAAAACAATTGTTGTGTCTCGCTAGATCATTGTTAAGCTCATCAAAAATATTGATATTAGACGAAGCAACCGCAGCTGTTGATGTTCAGACAGATAAAATTGTTCAAGAAACAATCAGAAAAGAGTTCCGAGATAAGACCATATTAACAATTGCCCATCGGATCAATACTGTTATTGATAACGATAAAATTCTTGTTTTGGAAAATGGAGCTGTGAAAGAGTTTGACAGTCCAAATAATTTGTTAAATAATAAAGATAGCTTGTTCTACAGTTTATATCAAGAAAACCAAAAAAGCGAGCAATAGAGAATTCATCTGAGTTGATTGCTGCACTGAATATATACCAGATAATTTTGTTTTATAAAAATTAATCATATATAATTCACAAATACACAATAAATACAAAATATATTGTAAACTATAAATAGCTAAGACGCATTAAATCAAATAGCATGTTCCTCCTTTACAACTGTTGTCCGATATAGTGTAATGGCTATCATGGCACGCTTTCACCGTGCAGACCCGGGTTCGATTCCCGGTATCGGAAAAAGTGCTTTTTTGAGCTTTGATATTATTCTTATTTTTTTGATAAGATGTTTGTGGGTTTGTACTTACAGTGATAAGACAAATTTGTTATCAATTTGACCAGATTATTTATTAAGAAAAAAACCAATTAATTGGCATATGATGGCAATTAATTGTTGAAGAAGAACAGGAAAAGAGTGTCCAATAGGGCACAAAGAAAAAGCAAGAAACTAAAAGGCTATAAAAAATGTCTAACTCATCGGATAAATCATAAAAACAGTCCAAACAAATAATTCGATTTTTAACATTAACCATTAATTTTGATTTTAACATATAATTCAAACTATTGGAATAACCATTAAAGCAGAACTTGACATATCTATAGACCGTTTTCTATATTCATCAACTTAAGCAATAACACAAATGTTTGGAAAGTAGGTTCCTGGTGGATCATAATTGTCTTTATTTTCACCTTTGGTGTTGCGAGATGATTGCATTTTGGAAATTAGTGGTTTAAAATTGTAAGAAATTAAGATAATTATAGATTGTAACAAGTTATAATTGTTGATATTCTAGAAATCATTATCAAGTTTAGAACACATTTTGCCCTCATTTTATATTATTTCTAAATCTCTATAAGTTTTCAACAATTTTAATAATACTCATTTAATTCATACAATTAAATCACACATCTCAATTATCAAGTCTTGCAAATGGAATAAATTTACACTAATTTTCAATACTCATATATTTGATTGCCAAATTTTCCTAATTAGGGCGTTTGAATGGAATATAGTTTCTCAAAATTTTTGTTCGATTTCCTAATCCAGAACATCAATGGTTTTTCCTCAACCACTCAAACTAAAGATCTGTTTAAATTTGTGGCGATAGAAAAGAAATTGTTTATCTGACATATTAACATATGTTTTTTTATTAGTAGTTCCTGAAAGAAAACCATTTCATCCAACACAATTACTATTTTCAGAAAACTCAATAAAAAACAGTCCTCGACTGATTAGTTAAATCCAACCCAATGAATAAGCCTTATGTCTTATCACATTTTGAGAAAAAAAATACAGTAGGTGGTTTTTGATTTATCAAATTGTTTCATGGTTTTAAATTATTATGCCAAATTGGTACTTGTGTTTTAAATCAATTACCCGAAGATTGTCTAACTTTGGTTTTTTTCAATTATAAAACACATTTCCAAATTTTTTGTTTAGATTTTATTTATGATTTTAAAAAATAAGATCCAAATATGCACGATTAAAAATGAATTAATGCATATAATATGTTTGTAAAGTTAGCCATATATATTATGATTATTCTGCAAATTATGAAGTAATTAGATGCAGTTTTGGGAAAATAATATCAGTAAGGTTTTCAAGATCTCAAAATAATTGAATAGTAATTTTTAGAAAATCAGTCTTTCAAACAAGATTAATTGGGGAATCTTATGTAAATTTACATATTAATTACAAAGAACAATCACTTGTCTCAACCTATTAATTTTGTATATTTTTTTTTATTTTAGATGATTCCTCAAAAACTCTAAAATATGCATAATCGATTTTAATAGTTCTATAATTTTATTTATTATAGAAACCACAAATTTATATTATAATATGATTTAAGAAAACAAAAAAAAAAGATTAACAGCAAATAAAAACAAATCTAGAACACAAAAAAAATAATAAATTATAATTGGAACAAAATCGTACATTTTTTGAAAATAAAAAGTAAAATGAAAGAAAAAATAAAAAAATACAACAAAACAAATTGAAAGAAAAATTCGAAAACAATTAATAACAAAATTAAAGAAATAACATTATAATAAAATCAAATTAGTAACATCAAATTAAACAAAAAAAATAAATTATACAGGCAGTTTTTCATTTGATGATTTAGAACGAAAAATATTATTGGGGTATTTAAACAGATAAAAGGCTTTAAAAGGATTATCACCTAAAGAATCCACGGAATAATGAGGATTATTTCTCTTGGGAGGAATTTTTATTGGATCAGTTTGAGAAATTTCTAATTTTTCATTTTCACTTGTTTTTTGTGGGTTTTTTGTTCTCTGTTGGTCTATATTTTTTTCATTGTTATTTTGTTCATATCTTAAATTTGACTGATTAGTTTTTATATTATTTGTGCTGGCAATACTTTTCAACTCTTTATCACTCAAGTTTGTAACAATTGAATTTCCATTGCTCTCAATTAATGCAGGCAAGACCACTGAGCCAAAATCGGAACCTTTATTCAGAACACCTTTTCTGTTTGTATAAGAATTATTATAAATATATTCATAGCTCAGTAGACTGCTTCTCCTTCTTCCCTCTTCATAATCATCATCATAGTCATCATCTTTAATATCAATTTCTTCGAATTCTGTGTTGCTTTGATCTTTAGGTTCATTTTGATTACGAGTATCAAATGGAACATTTTCTTTTAGTATCTGAATAGATCTTTGATTTTTATGGGATTTTAATCTATAAACATCTGGAGGACCAAAAAACCTAGTATAAAAATCGCCAGGGGTGCTATATCGATAAACATAATTGCTATTGCTTGTTTGTTTTTCTTTTGTAGAGTTTGTTATAATCATATTTGAAGTGTATAACTGTTCTTCAACTTTTTTATTCATTTTATTTATATGTTTTATTATTAAAAAAATCAATAAAATAAACAACAAGCAGCTTAAAGTAATTCCAGTTAATGAAACTGCTTGACAGGTTTTATTTTTCATACAAGTATCCCACTGTTTAAACGAATCTGCAGTTGAGATATTATGATGGGTTGTTTGATTTAATGCAACATCTTTTGATGATTCGGATAAATCTTTTTTGGAAAGCTTTGAAGCTTCAAAAAGTGTAAGATTCAGATTTCTGCTAAAGAAAATTTCAGTTTCATTATATAAATTATCAAAATCAATTGCATTCATTCTTCTGTTTAAAAATATAAATAAGTATTATAAGTATTATAAATAATGTAAATAATTAGGCGTTTTTTTGTTTTTTTAATACTAATTTTTGTTTTGATTTTTGTTGGTTTATTTGTGATTTTATTGTAAATTTTGTAAATTAATATAAAAATTATAAAAATCTGGAAAAGTTTGATAGGATGAGGTTTTTAAGTATCCTTCTTTTTATATTGAGTTGAGAATCTAAACTATTTTAAGAAAAATGAAGTAAATATATTGCAATTGCAATTGTAATTGTAATTGTAATTGTTTTTAGTATTATTATTTTGAATTGGGTTTTATTGACTATAATATAGTATAATATGACAGTAATAATTAAAGTCCAAGATAAAATGAAAAAGGCTGTGATAAATGTCTGGAATACAAAAAATGTGAGTGTCAGAGGTTCAAATGATAGAAATGTCAATCTTAAATATGAAAACTGTTGGACGACTTTTCATGATAAACATAAGAAATCAAATCAGTTAAGAATAGTTATGGATGATATGATTGCAAGATATAGAATAAATAGAGCACGATAATCTTGTTGATACTAGTAATTCATAGTGATTTGTAGTAATTGTGATATCAGTTATTAAATATAAAAAAAGAACTGTTAAAATTGAACCGGTTTCCTCTACTGATAACAAACAGAATTTTAGATCATAATTGGTCTCAATCAAATGAGCAAACAACCCAATAATAGAATCGATTTTAGTATTTCCTACCACTGAGATGTCAAGAGTTAAAAAGAACGAGTAATAAAATTGCACAAAATACTGTAAAATATTGCAAAAGATTTGCATCAAGGACAACTTTAAAAACTAAACAGAGTATAAATTTTGAGAATTTTTTTATTTTTTTAGAGTTGGTTGAGTTGAAAATTGATCTCAAATTGATTTTGGATTGATAAAATTTGGTAATTTTTCAATTTTCCTTTTTGCATCATAATAATTGCCCATAAGATTATTGATCAAGCAAATAAGATAACTCTAAAATTGGTCCAAATAAATATTTCTTTTATGTGTTTGTTAGAATATAGAATTTGATCTTCTCAAGTTGTTTCAGGGTACTATTTCCTCCAACCTTATGCTGAGTGAAGAGGTTTCTGGCCAATGAATTCCAATCAAAGTACCTGATGAAGTAAGAAGATAAAAAAGAAGTTAAAATAATGAACCTTCATAGGAGAAAGTTAGAAACCGTTTTGATAATAAAAAAAGCAACAGGTTATCTATTTCTAAGGCTAAAGAAGTCTGGCCAATAAAATGGTTTTATTCTGTTTATGTTTCAATTGCATCTGATTGATTATTACTTAAAGAATGATGCAAGTGTGGGTTCTGGGCAAACCGAAAGAACGAGTAGTGAAACATTGACCAGAGATTACCAGTTATTTAATAAGCAAATGCTATCAGCTCATTGGAAAGTGTCTGCCTTGATGAATTTCACCTAGAGAATGGACCGGACTGTCTTTGCCTTGGGCAAAATAAAGCAGTGATGAACACATCATAAGTCTCGGCCACAACCAATAAGGACAATCAGAAGAGAACTGGAGCTTCTTCACAGCTCCCACTGCACAAATTTCAAATTTCATTATATTTGATTACAATTGAAGAAACACAAATCTTCTGCATCGGCAACTCGGCATTTGAAATAGCAGCATGTAATGCACTTCTTGCAGGATGCACATATACCGATAACCACAGAAAGAAACCTTATAATACGTTTTATACACGTGATATGTAACTGTTAAAGCAGTCACATATCCTTTCTGAAACTAAAAGCCGCTGAATTGCTTTGCTGCCCTAGCGTGCCAGTCATTTGATTCTGTATAGGGCTCTGTTAGCTGCTTAGGTGTATTTACACGTGCTTCTCTTGCTTTTTTTCCCATTTGCCTCAGCATCATATAATCAAAATCATCCCTTTCAGTTTTTTCTGTTGTGTAATCTTTGTATCTTGGAATTATCTTCTAATCCTACTAAGTCAAATAACTACATTTCAAAATGGTATGTGCTATTCCTGCCTGTCCCTATTGATTAATATCCTAATCGCCGGTAACATTGGTGCGATCCACCAGTCTTCTTATCTGTTGATAATAGCCTGATGGCAATGGCAATACCTATAGTAAATCATATTGTCACAGCACCAATCCATCCATCCATTATCATCATCATCATCAATATAAACCTTTGATTATTTTACCAGTATCGCCTTGGAAGCTCTTATATTGGATTGTAATACTAACTCTTTGCTATTTTCTTTTTTACAGGGTAAAGTTCATGGATCATTAGCTCGTGCTGGTAAAGTCAAATCTCAAACTCCAAAAGTTGACAAAACTGAAAAACCAAAGACTCCAAAAGGTCGTGCTCGTAAGAGAATGTTGTACACTAGAAGATTTGTCAATGTTACTTTAACTAATGGTAAAAGAAAGATGAATCCTTCTCCAGCTTCTTCATAGGTTCAATGTATTTTTCATATTGGTTTGTTGCGGTAAATTTTTTTTTCAATAAAGTACAATAATATAATCATATAATAATTTCATATTTTAATAGTATAACTGTATTTATATGAACTCGTTGTAATCTCTGTAGCGTCATTTTGCCATTGAGCATTAGTTTCCAGCTTATCACGGCTCGATATCTCTTATTTTGTATTAAAGCCCAAAAAAACCCATCTCCGTAACCCAAATCGGTGGTTTTGAATAATTCTGGAATAATTCTCTTTATGTCATGAAAACGTCTTCTCACTTTCACTTTATCCCCATCAATTACACTTATTTTCCCTATCAATTGTGTTTTACAGCTATAACAACTGATCCCTTTTTGTTTAAAAATGTCTTCTGATGATGAGTTTTTTCTTAACGGTAGCGACTTATTTCAGGAACCTGAAGAATTTTTGCCCAAACAACTACCTTTCCATTTTGCCAACTACAAAAGAATCAATCCTCCAAAGAATCAGCCCTCTGATTTAAATTTGAGATTAATTGGTAGTTCGCCATTATGGGGCCATTTACTATGGAATGCTGGAATATTCACTGCCAACTTTTTAGATAACCCTTCAAACGAACATTTAATTCAAAATAAAAATATTCTTGAATTAGGTGCTGCTTCTGCTTTACCAAGTTTAATCTGCTCTTATCATAATCCTAAAAAGATTGTTATAACTGATTATCCGGATTTCGATTTAATGGAAAATATCAAATTTAACGTTAAAAATTTAATTCAAGACAATCAAAATAACAAAGATAACAAAGATAACAAAGATAACCAAAATATTCTTGTCAAAGGTTATATCTGGGGTAATGACACAATCGATTTATTGAATTTCATCAATAAAGATAATAAACAGACTGAGAAATTCCACTTAATTATTCTATCTGATTTAGTCTTCAACCACACAGAACACCATAAATTGCTTAAAACATGTCGTCAGCTTTTAAGCAAAGATGGTAAATGTCTTGTCGTATTCACTCCTCATAGACCAAAATTAATAGATAAAGATTTAAACTTCTTTGAACTCTCAAAATCCTATGATTTTATCTCACAAAAAATTGACCTTGTAACTTGGAAACCAATGTTTGAAGAAGAAGAAGAAACAATAGAAATTAGATCAAGAGTTTATTCTTACTACTTATTGCCCAATTGGTCTTGATCTTAATGAAAAAAAATATATTAATAATTTTAGAATAAAAGCTAATATACAGTTTATATAAACATAAATAAAAATAATCAATAATCAATCATGAGTAAAAGCTAAAAAAAACATAACTTGAAACAAAAGGTTTATCCAAAAATTGAATTTTTCCAGCATAAAGAAAAAAAAAATTAAACAATAAATAAAATCAAAATAAGCCAAACAAACACAGCAAATCATATAATAAGCCAAACTTTATAAGAAGAGAGCAAAATGATAGATATTAAAACTTTACTCGGGCTTTACAAAAAAAGAAAAGAAAAGAATAACACCAAGAAGTTTTTAGTCAAACATTTTATAATTACAACCAACTGTCACTTCCCCAAAATCCTCATAAGCATAGCAAACGGTACCAAAGGGACAATTGAATTCAACCCATTGATCTGATTGACATAAAGCATATTTTCCATTAGAACATGATATAGCACCATTTAAGCAAGGCTTAGAAAAATTTATTTTATCGAAATTTTCATTCAAACAGTCAGCTAATTCGGATCCTTTTAATAGAGTGCATACCTTTGGAGCCAAAATAATTACTTGATCATTTTGAACAATTCTTTTCCTTAAAGTTGGAGAATGAGTAACTGTTTGATGAGCAGTAGCTTTAGTAGTTGTGCAAGGAACACTGACATATGCAGTGGCAGTTTTTATAACTTCATAGGCCGAGGTTACAGCAGAAACAAATGTTTTTACTTTTTGATTTCCTGAATCAAATCCTTGAATATTGTTATTTTCATTATAATCACGGTTATTACGAAAAGAAGCATAATTTTGAGCTCTAGTATATGTATAAGGTTTATTCGAATACTGATAGGTGTTTTGATAATATCGGGTATTATAGTTGTTGTTGTTAATTGTTGTAGTAGTGGTTGTTTCTATAGTTGTTTCCAAAGCAGTTTCCAAAGCAGTTTCTAAAGTTATTTCTAAGGTTGAAGAAATTTGAGTGGGATTTAATGGGCTAAAATATTGTGTTGCGGTTGTTGTTGTTGTAATATTTTCAACGAATTCATCAATTTGGCCATTATCGTATTCGAGGTACTGACTACCATCGTATTGACCATCATCGTATTGAGTTGAATTTGAGGAATCGACATCAGTATAATATATACTATCAGTTGAAATGGGTGAAAATGAGGATGAGGATGGTGGTGTGATAGTTGAAGTTGAGTCGAGGGAGTAATCAGATGAGATAGTTGGTTGAGATTGTGATTGAGGTTGGGATGGGGATTGTTGGTTTGATTTGAGGTAAGCGTTAACTTGTTGAACAAAATTGAGACCATTTTCCTGATTTGTATAAGCTTGAGAAGCATCCCATAGAGAAACCCCACCAAAGCTTGAGTAAGAGCTGATTTGATCAAGAGTTTGAGCAACAATGCTTGAGGAAACGTAACCAAAGGAAGCAGCAGATTCAGCGGCAGCTAGAGTTAGATATAATTTGATATCTTTATTGTTAAAGTTTTGGATATTTTGGACCCATTGATCGAAGTTGAAATAGTCTGTGCCAATGTTGCAATAGTTGTTATAGAATTGGATTAAAGCAAAGTCTATATCGGATTGGATTAGAACATCGCCTAGGGATTCATCAGGATAAGGACATTGAGGAGTTGCAGAGATGTAATATTTTTTCAGAGAAGATTTGAAGTAGGATCTTAGTTCGGAGACTAGAGTTGGATAGCCAGTTTGGTCTTTGTTTTCAATGTCTAGATCAAAGCCATCTATTACAGCATCGCCAAAGGGTCTTGTATTACTTTCACCCTCGCCAAATAGGTTCCATAAGGTTAGAGCAAACTCTGCAGCTTCATCGTCGCTATCAAAACCATAGCTTTCACCACCAGCAGAGCCACCTAGGGAGAGTAAGATGGGAATGCCTAAATTTTGGCAATATGAGATGTCTTGAGCTATTTCGTCGCATTTTAGGAGGCCATTATTGAAAGAAGATGAGGAATCGCAGGCGTTTGCAAAGTTTAAAGTGGGGGCGTTTGAGCTGGAGCCAAAGGGGAATTGGGAGATAAAGGATATAATAACCATGTCGACATTTCTGGGATCGCAGTAGTATTTAAGACGTTGTTGAGAAGTATCAGTTGATTTTGAATTCTGACCCCAGAAGAGGATCATGTTATCCTTTGCATTTAGGTCGAAAGCAGCACTAGAAAGTTGGAACAAGCTGAGTAGGATGAATGTTGAAATTGGTAAAAGGGATAGAGAAAGCATTTTGAAAGAATCGTGATTATGATTATGGTTATGATTATAATAAATCTAATTATAATCAATCTGATTAGAATGACTAGTATGAATCTTTTTCGGTGTAATATACTAATACCGATTTGATATATTGGTAATTTTTTATTAATGAGTGACAATTTAAAAGTGATTTTTTTGTTATTGGTAAAGGATAGAGTAAGTTAATTGAAATTGATTATATTTATAGGAAAAAAAAGCTATAAGAGAAGGAATTAGTTAATGAGTTGATTAATTTTAATTTTAATTTTAATTTGAAATAAAAATAAAAACGAAAAAAAAAAAAATAATGGTGCTGGAATCATGGTATAAATAAGAAAATAATAAACAACAATAAATTAAAAAGAAAAATGAATTTACCAAATTAGCTTATACTAGGAAAAAAAAAAGGGAAATTAATGACAATTGCTGGAGATTGTTGAAGATACAAAAGAGAATGGAATAGAAATAAAAATCGAGATTGCATTCGAAGTTATGGATGATTTGAATCAAACTGAATAGGATTATAAGTTGGTGAGTTCGGTTGAATTGGGAAAAACTAGAAAGCTGGATCGAAACAAAATAAACTGTAGAATAAACTCTAGGGTAGGTCCAGTTTTATGTTGTAGCAGAATACCAAAGCCAGAAGAACCAATGTTAACACTTGATTACCACTTCATTTGCACTTCATCTACACCTCTTCAATACCCACTACCAACTCCCTAACAATAGCCTAAACACCCTCCAGTGCAGACACGCCCTCCAGCACAGCTCCTGTTCCCAGGCCCTGGATCAGCCCAGTTTCTAAGCACCTCCTCGTCATGTTCTGTGTTTTATTATATTTGCTTTCCTGTTCCCGTCTTCTCTTTTCGACTGTTTTCGCCCATCTCATCACTTTGCTGTTTCCACTGCAGATTTCCCTTCTCGGCACCACCCGTTCACACAGACACACGCGTGATCACAACGTGAATGTTACCACGTGAACTGATTGACTTACACCAGACCGCTTTGTTTGACGGGGCTGTGTGTTTTATGTCAACTCACCGCAGGCTCAAAACACCAATTTGGGTTCAAAAAGCGAGTTTCAGAAAACGAGTTTCAGAGCGTTTCGCGAGCTGGGTGATGAGGTCACTGTTCAAGGAGCCACTGTTATAAGAGGGCACTGCTTGAAGAGGCATTGTTTGAAGAGACACTGTTTGAAGAGCCCAGGAGAAAGTGCCCAATGAGCTGCTGCTCTGGGCTGCCCTTTTGGGAATGGCACCCATCCCATTGGCCACATCGCTCGGCTCATCGCAAACTTCCCGATCGGGCACTATTTGTACCACCAATATCGACCATATCGGCTCTATCGACTCTATCAGCAACAGCAACTTGTTGTCTGAAGACCCACTTTGATGCTTATAGAGTATTCTCTTTGACAGTATTCTCATATTCTCTGCTCATCATCGAGTACCTCTCAAACATGTTCTTGCACTGCGACAACGTTGATCGTGAATTGGACCCAGCTTTGCCAATTATTCTCCAATTTCCCCCCTTCAGATTCTCTACTGATTCATGGAACAAACTATCAAACACCTCTTATATCATTCAATTGGATGAATCCTTCAACAAGGACAAGGCCAAGCTCATAAGCTATTTCAAAACAAACAAGTTATTCCAAAGGACCCAGATCATCGCCAGAACCTATCTCAGCACCAAGTTTGATCGTGAAATCATATCGGTTTTTCCCAAAGGCTTGAAAATTATTTGCCATGCTGGTGCCGGCTATGATTTAATCGATACTTCATCTCTAATCGAAAGAAAAATACAGCTATCGAATGTCCCCATCTTGAATAATCCCTCAACTGCCGATACTCATCTTTACCTCCTAATCGGTGCAATGAGAAACTTCTACAATGGCAGAGTTAATCTCAATAAAGGTCTATGGAAAAATCAAATTTGTGCTGGTGCTCCAATTGGCCATAACCCAAACAACCAGACCTTAGGTATCCTTGGTTTGGGTGGAATAGGCAAAGAGATCTTGGAAAGAGTTAAACCTCTAAACTTCAAAAAAGTTATCTACTACAACAGATCAAAACTATCTCAACAAGAAGAAAAAGACTTGTCCTTTATCAACCAAAACAAATCCCTAGATTTATCCTACGTATCCTTTAACGATCTACTATCTCAAAGCGATGTCATCTCTCTTAATATACCACTAAACGATTCAACTTTCCATATCATCAACCAAGAAAATATCCTTAAAATGAAGGACAACGTCGTCATCATCAACACCTCCAGAGGCGGTATCATTAATGAATCACATCTATTGAAATACCTTAAATCAGGTAAAATATCCTCCTTTGGAACAGACGTCTTTGAAAACGAACCTCTAGCTTCTCAAGAACTAATTGACTTGCCCCAGGTTATCGCAACTCCTCATATGGGTACCCACACTTATGAAGCAATAGCTGGGATGGAAGAATGTGTCATTCAAAATATTTACCATTACTTAAGCACTGGCAAAGTTCAGAATATCGTACCTGAACAATTAAACCATCCTAATTTTGTCCAATAAGAGATATTAAATATTAATAAAAAACCCAAAACACATACACATACATACACACACACACACATCTATATAACTCATTACATACTTAAAGCCAATATTCAATAAACATTCAATAAACACTCAATAAATATTCAATAAACACTTATATTATTCCCATTATATCCTGATAAAACAGCAATTTCAATACACTTAAAACAGGTTTATATCACATGATATCATTCATCTCAAATTAATTAAAAAATTAAAAAATTAAAACCCTCTAGAAACAGAAGTTTCATATCAGACAGCAAAAAACATCTTAAAATATCTTAAAATATCTTAAAATATTTTTGAATCAGATTAAATTATATTAAATAAAGAGGAAAATGTTTAGAAAAAACTCACAGAATATTGCTAAAACTCTTCAAACTTTAATCGGCGATACCTCTCCAGAACTACCTTCCATTACTCAAAAAATTCAACAACAATTGGATATTTCTCAGAAGAATAACCTAAGAAAACTTTTATTTATTGATCAATATTTGTCCTCTAAATATAACTCAGATACAAAATATAAATCCTCTGAATCCAAAAACACACAAATACTTATTACTTCCACAGTATCAGAAAATGTATCTAAAAAATTAAATCTCTTGGATAATCTAAACTTACCCTTGGATAATTGCGAAAAGGCAATCCTTCTACCTTCTTTTCTATATCATAACAAAAATAGTAAAAAGATTTTGCCCACTCCCAAATCTAATAAATCAAATTATACTCCTAATAACACCTTTATTTCCACTAAAAAAAATAACCATCTAGATATAATATCTACTAGATTGGAATTATTAAACTCTTTTAATAACATAGAGTTGATCAATAGCTTAAACATAAACTCATTAAATCATTTGAATTATAAAATCCTAAAAACTTCTTTTAACAACCAAAAATCTTTCACAAACATAGACCTTTTTCAAGACTATTTAAATATACTAAATGCATCTTCGATATTAATACTACTTGAAGATAAATCCAAAAACCTATCTGATTTATCATTTTCAAGGTTAATTGATATCTTTAAAAATGATCAAGCATTTAAAAATTTGAAAAATTACAATTTTTTTAAATTAGATGAATACATTTTTGCACTCGCATCTTTATATAATTCATTTTCACATTTTAGAAATTATAACCAAAAATTTATTACTTATTCAAGTTTAAAACAATTTTTTCAAAAAGGAACTGATGATCTCGATATTAATAATACAAATGAAATTTATAAGTTGATAATTAATAAAAAGATTATGAAAAGAAGAGAAATGAATAATGATTTATCTCAAAACAATGATTTCAATCATGAAGAAATTAAAAAATTAATGAATAATTTTTACTTGATTTCAATTAATTTTGAAGAAAAAAATAACGAAAATGTTGAAAATGTTGAAAATAATGAAAACAATAAAAATAATGAAAATGGTGAAAATGATAAAAATGATAAAAATGATAAAAATATTGAATTTGATAAGTTCAGTAAACTAATTAACAATTACTTAATCGAAAATAAGAGGGATTTAAAACTTTTACTAATACAATTAAACTACAATTTAGTACCAAAATTTTATGAAAATATCAATTTATTGGTTGAAAAATCCAAAGAAATTGAGGATCTAAAGAATACACAAAGTAATTATGAGTTATATATGAGAATTGCTAAAGAGCGACACTTGTTAAGTAAGAGTGACAATAATCCAAAAGATGCTAATCAAAATCAAAATGAACTAAAAGGCTTTATAACAGAATTAAGCAAGATACATTTGTTTGATATCAGCGAGAGCAAAGAAAATAATCAAAATTGTATATACTTACTAAACAAAAGTGAATAAATCTAAGGAAATAAAGATATAAAGAGATCAAATAGATTAAAAAGATAAAAAGTCAGTACACTTTAATACGCTTAATACACTCCATACAATTAAGCAATGTCATGAGGTGAAATCATATGAATTACTAAAATAAATAAATATGCATGTAATTACTATTAAAAACAATTTTTATTTTTTTTATAGAAAACTGTTTTTATTTTTTAGACAATCTTTTTTTTTTTAATTTTTTTTTAATTTTTGTTGTCAAGTGGTTTGAGTGATTTAAGTGTTTAAAAAAACCAAAAAAACTAGTGGCTCGCAATTAAGAGAATTGGTAAGCCAATATGACTTAATTGAAATTGAAATTAGGTAAACTGAATGGAAGCATAAGAGTAACATTTGTTTAATTGAATAAAAAGCAGAGACAAAACCAACCTGTGATCAGTTTTGATGAAATTGATTAGATTTTTTTGATAATATAGATAAAAAGAATTAGAATTAGAGACAAAGCCGAATAAGATTTTCTCAAGTGTTGAGAAAATGAATTTAAAATACAGAATATAAGTGAAAATGGGGATTGAGAATTTGAATGTGAATTGAGAATTTGAATGTGAATTGAAATAAAAACGAGAGTGAAAATGAAAATGAAAACGAAAATGAAAATTTAAATGGCAAATTCAAATGGCAAAATTTAATGGTAAAATTTAAAGGAAATCACAATTTTTGAAGTTTGTATTGAGATTTTTATAATATTTAAAACACAGCATAACATTTTAGCAACATAATTTTGATGGTAATAGGATAAGAACAATCATAAATGGAAAAAAACAGCAATCAATGGCTATGTATAATTTTAGAAAAATAACAAAATTAATTTTCTTAAATTCTTGTTTTAATAAATTTTTTTTTCATTTAAGGACGATTAAAAAGATGTGCTTTTTTTTTTTATTTTTCTGTTGTTTTTCTTTTAAGACAATAATTTCATTGATTAAGTTAAGTTTTCTTAAATTTTTTTTTTTTTTCATTTAATTTGAATAGATTTTTGTGCTAATCAAAGATTTTCAACTAAAAAGATTGCCGATTTATATTTGTATATATATATATATATATATATTTATATATAAAAATATTTATATAAAGATAAAAAAAATTTTAAGTGTTACGAGTGACGGATCAGTAGTAAAAAAATGTGTTGGTAATAGTTGTAAAATTATTGATGCCATAAAAACAATAAGAATACAGTTGTTAAGTCCTTAATAGCTATAAATTTTGAATTTGATAATAGTGTAAAATTTAAAAAAGAGATCTACATGAGATCTACATGAGATTTACATGAGATTTTCAAGAGATTTAAAATATTTAGATTGATATGACAGAAATAAAGTTTCAATTGAAATTCAGAATTGAAGTTATGATTTAACATTTGATTATAGGTAAATAAACCCAAAGAAAAAAAAATAACTCTATAGAGATTGAGTTAATAGTTTAAGTTGAATAAGCGAATGAGAGAGAAATAGAGTTTGATAGAGAATTATCGCTTAGTATGGTGCATTAAAGATTCCTTGAGTGGATGTTTTTTTAGCAGTGGAAAGGCTTTTTCAGATAAGGCAGTTGAAGTGAAATCGTAACAATAATTCAAAAAAAAACAACAACGAGAAAAAAACATCAAAAAGCAAAGCAAATTATAAAAGGAAAATTTTAAAGCAAATGGAGGTGGAAACAAAATGTTGAAAACCGAATTCTAGAAATTATAAAAGTTGCGAACCAAGTTTTATAAAATCCTTTTACGTGATTAAATATTATGAACATCTTGAACATTTTGGATGGTGTGAAGATTTTGGATATGAATATTTTGAAAAATTCCAACATTTGGGAAACCACTGCAAGTATAACGCAAGAGGAGGAAGGGAGTGAAGAATAGAGAAAAGTGGAAGGGTGCAAAAAAAGAATAAAAAAGATAAGGAAAAAGGTGATAGGGTTGAAGAGAAAGAAGATAATAAAAAAGTGAGAAAATGGTAGAATGGCTCGTTTTGCGGTATAATGTCTTAGAAAAGTGGAATCAAAAAGGAATAATTACATTCCTGTTATTAGAACATTGGAGAGGTTTGAAAGATTTGAGATGTTTGAAGTTAGGATGATTGTGTGATTATATGTGCTGCCCAATTAGGCAAGCGTAAGAGTAGGACAGGTTTTTGAGCTAATGCAGGTGTTTGTTAAAAGAAGGTTCCAGCTGGCAGCCGTCCGCACAGGACAGAGGCCATATTCAGTAACAGCTGTCAGGAGATAGCGGAGGTGCGTGAACAGAGGGAGCATGAGGTAAGCATCCGGGAGTGCTTTGTCAGCCGTATGCGTGACACAGAGGCGCGCGGATGCGGTGGCGGACTTTTTCCAGCTGGACACAGGTCGAAGAGAGGATGGAGCACAGATCGTGAGGTTGTCAGTACAAGAGAGTGTGACAGTGAGACAAAGAGATACTGAGATATCGAAGTATCGAGATAGTGTGCTAGTAGAGTAATACAGTAGCTGATAATGACACCAGAGCTAGTTCTTGATCCCCAGTTGAAGTATTGGGTGATTCTCCCCATCTCATTTGTTATGGTGATGTTTGGTATTCTACGTCGGTATATTCAGGTCTTGATAATGGCTGACAGCGGTGGGAATGGTGCAAATAAGAAGGGAGAGTACAATTACAACAATGCTGAAGAATTGGTTAAATTGAAGCAAAAAACGTTGATTGGCAAGTGCAGAGCATTTAGAAAGAATTGCTTTAATTTGAATAGTGAGAGCTTTAAGAGAAGACAGGAGATTTTGTTTAAATTGTTGGATGAATATATCAAAGAAGAGGACAATAGGGAGAAAATGAAAGGGAGTGAAAGCCAAATGTCCAATCCATTATTTGAGCCAGGAGGACTTGATTCTATGATGAATATAATGAAGGGGAATCTAGCAAATTATATTCCGCAAACGGTTATAATGGGATGGGTTAACTACTTTTTTGAAGGATTTATTGTTATGAAATTGCCATTCCCATTGACCAATCGATTCAAGACCATGTTGCAAAATGGGATTAGAACAAGAGATTTGGATGTTAAGTGGGTTTCATCTATTTCGTGGTATTATGTCAATTTGCTAGGGTTACGATCTGTTTATAATTTGTTGTTAAACGATTCCAATATCGGTGATGAAATGTTGATGGCCGGTAATATCAGTTTCGGCGGAAATAACAAAACCGGTAATAATAATAATGGCCAACAATTGCAATTGCAACCTGGTGGTCCATCTATGAAAAAGTTGATGGAAAACGAAATAGAAAACATTAAGATTATTCAGTATCAATTTGACTTAAACGATATTGAAAAAAGAGTTTTAGAATACTATGATTGCTAGTGCAGCTAATTACCATGCAAATGACAATTGCAAATGAAAATTATAAATAAAAACTGCAAATGAAGATTGAAAACAAAAACGTAACTACGTAAGTAAGCACACAGGCAAACAAGGAAGTAAGTGGACATATACTCATATACTTATCCACTTATACAGTTACACACTCATACGCCAATGTTCCCATACAATCTAATTATACAATCAACTCATATTCAGGGACTAGTGCAAAAGAATAAGTACATTTCAGTAACACAGGTCAGGTTATCAGGGGTCCAGACCTAACCACCATAGCAGACCAGGTCAAGCAACAGTGCGAAATAGGGTTTGTAAAGGGACAGCAAACATTGTTCTCTCTAACCATCAATTCCTCTGGCTTTAAACTAAGCTCCAGCAGCAGCGTTGGGTATACTTTTACAATGCTTGATTCTATTATCTGCCATTTAATCCAAACTCGCAAACACGCTTTCAAACTGCGTTGGAGCTAAAAATGGGGTTTGGTGCCACAGACACGCACGTGCACCAAGCGGTTATATTGTTCTCGCGCATACGGCCGCATTGAGACTTATTCCCAGCTGCGTACACTGGTTTGGGCGAATTCCCCGGCCGGACTTCCCAATCAGGATGCTTATGCCGTGCAAGCCTGCACTTCAGAACCTGCGGTCGTGCTGTGCGCTATCTCCGTCGGCACTTGTACTCAATCGGGCGCTTCCTCCGGTCCCCGGAAGCGCAGCTTTGGACAAAAAGTGAGGCCTAATCAATTTGATCAGTAGCCTCTTCCAAATTGGGCGAAACGACCTTCTAATCAATTTAATCAATGGGTTCTCTTTGATCACTACAATTATTCTCTTTGCTTTTAATCAATTCAATCAATCTTTGGCTGCTTTCTGGTCAATCTTTTATTCTGCTCTACTTTAGAATTTAGTGCGCCAATTCTAAACTTTTTTCTTGCTCTTGTCGCTACTTCTCAGTGCTTTTTGGCCTGGCTAAATCCTTTTTTCTCCTTCTTAATAGTTTTGGCTTTCTAGTTGCCATAAAAGAATAGTTTATTTTTTTGTTTTGGCTGATTCTAATTTCACTCTCTTTAGTTAAATTTATATTAATATATATCTCTTGCTTCTTGTGTTATTTTTATTTTATTTTATTTTATTTTATTTTATTTTATTTGCCTTTTTTTCCACTTCCTCTTCCTTGAAGGATCTCTAACCATTGACCTCAACTACCTTTATTCCATCCAGAGTAACCAACACCATTTCTAAAGTATATCTGCTTCCTCATATAAATACTTAATCTGACCTGTACTTATCTATTCCATCTATCTTCATCTATATATCGTTCTGCTCTATCCTGTTTACTGATTCTCTCTTTATTTTTCTCTTCTCTAATATTTTTTTGAAAAAGAAAACAAAAGAAAAATTTTATCTTTCTTTCAAAATGTCTTTAATCCAGAATAATTCTGTCACTTCAATAATACCAATCAATAATACCAATAATAATAATATTATTACTCTTAATAATAAACAAGACCTAAACTCTACTAAAAACGGAAGTATAAATAACTGCAACAATAAAGAAACAAAATCTAAAAGTAAATCAAACAAATCATCTGAATCTGCCAACAAAATAACAAAGAAACCCTTGAGTGAAAAACAAAAGCAAATTCAATCAAACCTCGATCTCCCTCCTGTTAAAGTCAGACCAAACGCAAAACATGTTAGTAGAGCCTGTATTCAATGCCGTGGTCGTCATTTAAGATGCGATGGTATTTTACCAATATGTGGTCGTTGCTTAAAAAATGATAAAACTTGCACCTATGTTCCAAGTCATCGTGGTGGTTCAAGAAAGAAAATCAAATCAAATACTGCTCATACTTTTAACCATTTAAATAGACCTTTCCCACTACTAGCCCCCTCAAGTCTAAATTTCTCCTTGAATTCCTCCTTAAATTCTTTAAATTCCTTTAATGATTGTTCTGCTTGCGATAACTGCAACTCTTGTTCTGAAGATGAATCTTCTTCATACACAAATTCAAATTCAAATTCTTACAATTCCTATAGAATGAAAAGAAAATTATTCAAAAAGACAAAAAACTCAAATCTTTTAAATAATTTGTCTTTCCCAATATCAATATCTCATTCAAATTCGTTCATAAACAACAACATCAAAAATAACAATAATAACAGCAATAATAACCCATTTAATAACAATAATAATAATAACAATAATCAGTTTTTCAATAACCAGTGTAATAACCAACTTGCTAATGATAATATGGTAATAAACCAGGAAATAGATTTTAATCTGCTCTCCAAATCTTTATCCTTTGATGAAATTCTTAAAATGCCTTGCATAACAGGCTCTGGTAATCAATGCCCAAACATATCCTGTCCTGTCTTTGAGCCTTCTGCAAAAGAAACAAGAAACTTATCTTTGCCCTGTTTAATAAGAGACACAAATAACAATAAAGTAAATTCTATTCATTTCCCTGGTATTAATAATACTATCGTCGTTCAACCACCAAAATTAGGCCCTGATCTTAATTTGCAACTAGAATTATTTAATAATAATTTCTTAAGCACTTCAAATAAATTAACTAACATTAATCCCAATATAATCAAAAACAATTCCTTTAATACTAATTTTGCCATTAATCAAAACAATAACCAAAATCTTAATCAATTTCTTAATTTAAATATTAACTCCAGGACAAATAACCAGCCTCAGTCAAGAAATTTCATTCACTCTAAATCAAATTTGATTGACACCTCAAAAATAAATACAGCTTCAACAATATTGCTATATTACTCAACTTTCCATAATTTCCATCCCTTCTTGCCTCCAATAAATGAAATCAATGACTATATAACAAAAATTACAAACTCTGATGATTTAGTATCTGCTATGAAATTAATAATAGATGGCCAAACTACAAATCAATTCTCAAATGATATCAGAAAAGTATCTGATAGAATAACTCAATGCTTAATGATAATAGAAAATGACCTTAATAACGACCTCGTATCTCTACAGGCTTTGATACTATTATCAATAGCATCATATATATCTTCCTTACATGATCTAAATAAGTATATTAGAGAAAAATGCTTTTCTTTAATCAAATTCTTAAACATTAATGTTATTGATGAAGAATATTTCAAAAGCCCAATCGCTTCTCCAACTCTTAACTCGAATGATTCTTGCTCTTCAAAAGCTATAATAGAAAATTTACAAAACTTACAAGTTTTTAAATCAAAAAGATTACAAAATATCCCAACCAATACAATACTAGATTCTTCAAGAAGATTGTTTTGGGAATTTTATATGATTGATATTACTATAAACTCACTTGATGGTAAAACTTTATCAAAATTACCTTCTTTGTCTTTGAAGATTAAATATCCAACTTATCCTCCCAGAGAAACTTTTGATTACAAAAGCAGATCTGAAGCTTCAACTTTATTAAACGATGTTATTAGAATGAATAGAGCTATATTAGAAAAACAGCCCTATGACTCTTATTTAGTCCAAGCTTCTGTTGCTTTAGGAAACTGGGAAATGAAAATAGAAGACCCATCTTTATTCAATACTCCCTACTTGATTAATAGTTTAGGTCAAGTTAATGAAGGTGTTCATCAAGCTATAATAATGTTTAACTACGCTAAAATGTTTATCCATAAACCATTTTCTTTCCTCTCTCTGGATGAAATCCCTGTTCTCCCGAAATCGCCTAATAGTAACAATAACAATCTTAAGAATAATGATTTATCCTCGTTCCCAAACAAAATAGATTCGAGAAAAATCATCGAAACAAGAAAAACAATCGAAGCTGCAAACTCTGTTGTTAAATTATTAATTGATACTAATCCTGCTCAAATCCATAAAAGAACTCCTTTATTTGCTTGTTCAGTCGCCTATGCTGGTATAGTCCATCTTGGTGCTTATGTTTGGACTGGTTCTTCTATTGATCAAAGCAATATCAATCCTTCTTTCTCGAATCATTTCCCAAAAATTAACCCTGGAGAATTACAGCTCTACAAGGAATACTTGAAACTCGAATTAAATGGAATTTATTCAGTGTCAAGACACTGGCATTTGCCTGGCGAACTAGCATCTCACTTGAGAAATTCAATATTTAAGCTGGTACCTGAATTATATCATCAGCTTGAAGATTCATTTCCAAGAATGTTTAATATAACAAATGAAAAACAGTCACTAATAAACAAATTTAATGCATCTCCAGTCAGAGCTGCTTCAACTATTTCAAATAATTCGGATGTTAATTTTGAATTCAATCCTCTTCAAGATTCAGATCCAACATCTGGTATGAATTCAAGAAATAACTCTCCTTCATTACAAAAACAAGATGACGGTTACATTACAACAGATCTTCAAAAATCTTCGACAATTGCAAATATGTTTTCTAATAATGAATGCAATGATAATATGAATTCTAACAATAATATGGAATTGAATAACAATAACAATAACAATAATATCAATGATTTTGATAAAATGACTACTAATGATGCTAATATTAATTATGAGTTTGACTTCACCAGTTTCCAAAATGAAAACAGTTTCAATAATAATACTAATAATAACACCCCTGACAATAATTCTAACATTCAGAATAACAATATGAACAATATGAGCAATATGAGTAATATGAGTGACATAAGTAATATGAGTAACATGGGTAGTAACATGGGTAATAACATGAATAACAATAATATTCAAGGTAGAAACATTTCTGATAATAATATTATTAATAATTTTCAGATAAATAATAATTTTCAAAACAATTTTCAAAATAATGTTAATAAAAATAACATCAATAATATTATTGATGATCAAAATTTAATTAAAAACTCAAATGATAGAAATGAAAACAGTCAATTTGATGCTTCAGCTTTTGTGAATGTCATTAATAGTATTAACGGTTCAATCGAGCAAACCTCTAATAATGATTGGATTGATAAAAACATGTTTGGCAATAACATGAATTTGGATTTCGATATTAATGAATTGGATTTTAATTTAGATTTATTGAAATAATCTAATAATGATCATTTTCTTCTTTCTACTTCTTTTTTAGTTTTTCTAATTTTATTTCTCGTGTATAATATTTGTTGATTTAATTCCTATTTTTTCTGCTTTAATTCCTATTTTTTTTGTTTTAATTTTCCGTTTATGTTTTTTTTATTCAAATTATTCCTTTAATTGATTCGGCCCTGAGTGATAGCTAGTTTAGTCACATTTATTTGATAGTAATACATAAAACCTTTTTTAGGAGAAAATATAGAGCCATCATCAACTAAAAATATAATGAAAGGCACCAAATGAAAAACCAAGGAAAAAACCAATAAAAAGAGGATCAAATTAGAAAAAGATTGAGAAAACCAACTAAATTACAAACTTAAAAGTAAATAATTATTGGCAGTACAAATATTTTGTTCAAAAAACTGTTAAAAGACTTTTTGGTTATGATTTTTGTCTCAAACTCAGATAAAAAATTTTCCATTATGAGACGGATTTAAAAATTTTTTCCAGACTTATTGTCAAATAGAAGTATATTGTCGAAATAAATAACTCATTTGTTTGGTGAAAAGCAGTAAAATAACAGCATTAAACAAAGTTTAGTGATGTTTTCAATTTGTTTTAAAAAGGTTATGGTTAATCTGAAACAAAATTTAAAATAGAGTTTAAAAGAATTATGAAAACATAAAACGTAAAAGATAAAATGTAATTTAAATGTATAAAATTATTAGCTTGATATTTATGTTTTTTTTGTTTTTTTCTTAATTTGTTAATAAAACACAATAAATCATGACAAAATAAAGTAGAGGAAAGTAAAATAAAATAAGTTAGAGTAAAATAAAGTAAAAATAAGATACATTAGGTTAAGTTAAGTTAAATTTGAAGTGTTAAGAGGATACAGTGATTGATTGATTGGTAAAATTATCAAAAAAATCAGCATTGGCACTGGTATTGAGAAAGTTATCCGTTAACAACGAGTCGTTATTAAACGTTTCAAATACTGAATTATCCTGATAGTGTATGATACTGGTTTCAAAAGGGTCTTGGTTTTTTAGACTTGAAGTTAAAGTTGAAGATTGAAAAGTAGCAGTTGTTGATAAAGTTGGAAGATAGAATTGTAGTTGAGGAGTAGAGATTGAGTTATAAGACAAAATTGTATCGTGAGAATTATTCTTTTGAAAGAATTTAAGAAAATACAAAGCCAATTTAAAAATAGTTAAAAATTGAGTTAGAATGAATAAGACGGGCTTTGAAAGTAGTCTTCTCCATATTACCCAGCAGATCGTAAAGGTTAACCAATATAAGGCATACCTAATATTTTTTTTATCAATCCGATCAGCTTGCTCTAGTTCTTTGACTAATCTGGAGGATTTGTTTAGAATGAATTCTAGTGATTGATATTTATTTGAAAGAAGTTGAAGGGAATTAGAAGATTGAGATAATTCGTCAATATTTAAATCTGATTGCAAAATACTTGATTGTAACAATTTATGAGAATTTTTCAAAGCAATCGATATGGATTCGTTTTTATGTAGAATCTGTTGCTTTATTAGATCATTCTTATTGCCTGACCTAGTTATGTTATTTGGATTATTGGCAATTGTAATTGTATTAGCATTTTTAAATAATAAATCTCTTTGAAAGGAATTTTTTGTGTCTTTGTCATAACCATTGGCATTACAATTATAATTTTTATTTTTGCTTTTAATTTTATTATTATGACCATTGTTGATATTTTCATTTGAAACAACATCGTCGAACCCAATTAAAGATGCAAGGTTATTTGAAGCAATCTGCTTATTAAAATGCGAGACAAAAAAATGAAGCTTTCTAGAACTAAATTTCAAGTCGCTTAAGAGTTCCAGGTATTTGTCATACTGTACTAGATAGTCAGTCAAACAGTCAGTATCACTGGTATCATTTGAAGCATTGGAGGCCATATTAAGGGCGTTGATTGAATCATCAAGAAACTGCTTTGTCAAGCGCAATAAAACCGAGCCATTGTCTATCAGTTTGTATATCTTAGAGAAGAAATTGGGGTTGATCTTGGAAAGGGACTGGGTGGAGATGGAGCCAGTTGGCAAAATGGTGATCTGGTGCTTTTTGGTGAAGTGGTGGAGATCAAGTTGTATCTGGTCCACCAACAGTTGGACCTTCCGGTAGTTTTGTTCTGGTTCATTTGGTGTGCCTGTCATTGTTGCAACGAGCCTGTGCTGTACTGTTTACTCTCTGTTTCTGTTGCTTCTGTTACTTCTTTCTCCAACTCCTTCTGATTATATCTGCTTCCGTTTTCGTCTCACGGATTTCCGCGGTTGCTTTCCGCGTCCGCATCCAGAGCATCCGTAACCTCTAGAAGCAGATCCGCCTCTTCTTCCGGTGCTTCTTCCAGTGCTGCTTCTGCTGCTTTTGCTGCTTGTGCTGCTCTAAGTTTTGTTGAAAGTCCTGCTGCTGTTTGCCACTGGAGCTCCTCTCCACAAGTAGGACAGTTTCTCATTGTGGGAACCACTGCCATCAGAGGCCTGTTTGTATCCTTCTTCAAAAGCTGCAAGGCCAAACAGCGTAGATGACAAGTAAAGCTACAGTCTCTGTTGTAGCAGAGAAAAAACAACTTAAAGTTCTCTTTCAAATAGTTTGTTTCAACTTCTTTGCTACAAATTAAACAGTTAATCTTGCGAATGTCCTGCTCATTTCCACAGTTGTTTCCATCGTCGTTCCCATCAACCAAGGCCAACTTCAGCTGGCAGATTTTAAGCAATTCAACAGATATATTCTTTTCCATTTGATAAAATTCTTTGATATCGGTATGATCATTTTTAATAGCAAATTCAGAATTTTCGAATATTTCAATTAAGGAATCTTGGTTTTCCCTTGAAATGTCTATCGTTTTCTTTTTATAATTTGGATTCATCTTAATCAATCTTGTGTTATCATTGATTAACTGAAATATTTCATTATCAAATATCTGGAATTTTAGTGTAAATTTTTTGAAAAACTTTGAAATTAATAATGATTTGATATTGATCAATATTTGATTGATATTGCCTATCGATCTTGACTTGTCATACTCTTGTTTACTTTGATGAAATTTGAATTCTTTCGAAATATGACGAGTTTGAAAAGGATGCTGGAGAGAATGCTCAAACTTCAATGCTGATATCCTTGAGGGAAACCCATAAACTAATATAACCATCTTCCATGGTCTGTTTTGCTTAGTTCGAAAGGCTCCTCCTTGTTGTAACTCACCATTGTGTTGACGAACTCTTCTATCTGGATTGGGGGTTGATCCAATATAAAACTTTTTCAAACTGACTTCAGACCTCAATACGTAACAACAGTAGAAATCTGGCATTTCATAAATGCACTTTCTCTTTCTTTGGCTTCCAATGTCACTTTTTGCTGTCATTCTCACTGAATTTTCTATTAGATTCCACCACCAAGTCTTTCTCTGCTTCTTCTGGTGCTTGTACTGTTTTTCTTTCAGCACACAAAATCACAAAATGCCACCTTTCACTCAAACTGTCACAATCACAGAAAATAATCAAAAATGAGAATGCCAGAAATGAAAGAAATAGAATAAAAAGGTCAGAAGAGTTTTCTTTTAATTCTTAACTATCAAAATCTGCATTTTATATATACTTTTCTCCATCAAACTTGAATAGACTTAAAGTTCACCAACATCAAACGTTAAATTCAATTCAGTTCAACTCATCTCATTTGGATAACAACTTTTAAAAATGTCTTCAAAAAATCAAATCATCATCCCTAGAAATTACCTTCCTCGCAATATAATCCTATGTTTTGATGGAACTAACAATAAATTTGGCCCTGAACCCTTTTCAAATGTCTTGAAACTATTTAAACTACTAGAAAAAGATAACCAGAATCAATTATCTTATTATAGGCGTATGATTCACCACAACCAATATCACATTTACCACATCTCAACCATTCATCAATTATAATCCATCCAATATCAATAAACAATTGCAATGCTAACTACCTTATTCTCTCCTTACCAGCTGGCGTGGGCACTTCTTTAAACCCTGATGATACATCCTTTGCAATCTCTTCAAAATTGGACTCCATGATCGCCTTTTCTTTAGACACCCAAATTAAGGAAGCCTACAAGTATTTAATGGCCCATTATTCCAACAATGATAGAATCTACTTGTTTGGCTTTAGTCGTGGTGCTTACACTGCCAGAGTTCTAGCTGCAATGATTGAAAGAGTTGGTCTACTAACCTCTGGAAACGACCATTTAGTCGATACTGCCTATAAATGTTATATATCTTGGGAATATGGTGGCCAAAAATCAAATGACGATCCAACCTCTACTTTAATCAACGAATTTAAAAACACATTTTCAAAAAAAATCATTTACATCAATATCTATTTTATGGGTTTGTGGGATTCGGTTAATAGCGTTGGAATCTTTAGAGATCGTTTATTTCCTTATACAACAAGAAGCAATATAGTTAAACATGTTAGACATGCCATAAGTATTGATGAACATCGTGCAAGATTTAAACAAATGCCTTTTGCTTCACCTGGCGATAATGGCAATAACGCTGACAATGATGATAATACCGATTTGCCAGATTATATTACTCTTGACAATTTTAATAATAACTCAGTCTCAAAACTAAATCATGACCAAAGATTACAAAAAAGGATTAATAAGTCAACTCTAACTAAAAAATTAGAAAAGATTTACGCCTATCTTCTCGATAAAAAGACAAACGATAAATATAAAAGATTGAGATTTAGTACGTCGAGTGATTTAGTTGAAAAATGGTTTCCAGGAACTCATAGTGATGTTGGTGGAGGTTGGTATCCCGATGAAAATGGTCAATATCTATCAAATATCTCCTTGAGATGGATGCTCTCTGAGGCAATTATATTTGGTGTTATGTTTAAAAAAAATTCAATTCATGAATTTGCTCGTCAATTTCCTTCTCTTGGTAGTCTTATATCTTGTGAACATGATTTACTAGGATATATTAAATATAAACCCTTAAAATTTCTTAGACTAAATAATTTGTCATTGAAAAACATGAAAAAGAAAACACTAGCTCAAGCTTATAATATAAATCATGATTATAATTATGATATTATGAAGGATTTAATTCAGGGTGATGATCTTTCAATGCTTCCAGATGTTTATGGCTCGATTTTCAAAACTTTACTTGTTGATGGAACAAACATAACTTTTCAAGGAAAGAAATCACAAACAATTAACAGTTTTTATAATATTTTAACTAAAAAACATGAATGCTTACGTGGTGTATCTAAATTCAATGTGTTATTTTGGAACTTTTTTGAAATTATTCCGGTTGGTATTAAATTTCAAAATGAACAAAGTATCTGGACAAATTATTATTCTCCAAATCTAAGAAGAGGAAGAAATATTCCACCAGATGCAGTTTTCCATTGGAGTTTCTATTGGAGATTAAAATTGGTTGAAGATTATGATCCCAAAAATGTTCCAAAAGAGATCAAAGACAGAATCAAAGATGATCTTGACTGTCAAGTTGCAGAAGTAGAGCAATTTAAAAAAGATAACTGGAAAAATCTTCCAGATGACTTGGAATATTTGCTTGCTCAGTATCCAACATTATAATGTTATTAGTACTATGATACTTGGACACTTGATTAATGGCTCTATTTTTTGGATTTATGATTTATGATTTTGAGTTTTTTAAGCATAAATTTTTGCCTCTGCTTTTTCATTTGCTATTAATTCGAGATCCAATTTTAATTCTAGAGTTTTAATTTTTTTTCTTATTGTTTTCAAATTGATTTCACTTTTTTTAAGAATATTTCAAATATAATATAGTAGAAAAAGAAAACTATAATTGCATAGAATATATAAAATGAGTTAAATGAGGATATTATTTAAAATGGCATGAGAATAGTTTCAATCAATAAACTGAAACTTTAAATTGGAACAAACTTGGTAGCATTATTAATTCTACTAGTGGTTTTAATAGAAGATACTTAGTAAACTTTATCTTTTTTGCATGTATCATTGTAAAAAACAACCGAAAAAAATAGAGCCTAATTCTTCAGTCATACTTTGATTGACTTTGAGAGTTTGAGTCAGGAAAGAAGCTTTATTTGAAATGATGATGATGATGATGATGATGATGATGATGGTTTGGGAATGAGATATTTTAAAAATGCGATAAAGTTAAAGATAATTATTGAATAAGTGTCATTTTTATGTTTTCGCTGATCTAAAAACAGGGTAGAGAGCGGTAATGAAAAAGCTTGTTGGTATTATGACTTATGCAGGTGCAACGAACTCAAGAAAACCTCAGAGCTTAATTTCGGGATTTGTTCATTTTGTAAACAGACGGCGAATCCAGAAATTGGATGGCACAGAAAAGGATTCTCGAATCTTGGGTAAGTTTATGAAGGACTTTTTCATGGAATTCTGGAGAAATCCGATGAAAAGTCGAGAAAAGAACATGAAATCAGGTGAACTGATAGTGGCTAGAATGTACTACTGGTCCAGTGAGTTAATTAAGTTAGATGAACTTTTATTAAAAATTAATAAGATAAAGAATTTACCAAAGAAGCTTTAATATAGAACCGATTAGAATCTAAGAAAGATCTAAAGAAGAAATGCAGAGATATTTATATAGAAGAGTAAACTAAGGGGAATAAGATAAAACAAAAAAAAAAAATCAGTAAAAGGAGTGAAAACACTTTTCTTTTGTTTTTAGTATAATAAAATAAAAAAAATGAAAGATTTTAGAATTTAAACCAGTCCAGTCCAAACCAAAACAAAAAATTTTAAAAAAATAAAAAGTAAATAAAAAGGAAATGAGTTATGAAAACAATGGGTACCAAGAAACCGAAAATCTAAAATTAAGAAGTGAGATTCAAAAATGAACCAAAATAGGGATTAGAAGAAAATAAAAGCAAAAATGATTTGAAACAGATATTGAAAGTCATATTAAACGAATTAATAAAACCAGAGTTAATAAATCAAAGTTAAAGAAACAATAAACCAGCAAGAGCAACGACACCAGATAAGCCTAAACCTAATTTGGAACCAGCGTTGATGTTTTCATCGATATCTGGAACAGTAGTATTCCTGGAGGGAGTTGGTCTTGATGGGAAGGTAGTGACCGTTTCTTCTGGCAATGGACAGTAGGTGGTGTAGACGGTTTCGGTTCCTCTAACAGTGGATGTGACAACAGTGACACCGGTGGTAACTGGTTTTTCGGTACAAACAGTAACACTTTCACAAGAAGTGACAGTGATAACAGTGGTACCAATCTCAGTGTTGGTGACAGTTAAGGTAGAGTTAAGGTAAGCAGCAGAGGCTAATGAAGCGATGGTGGAGGCTAATAAGGCTTTTGAGAATTGCATTTTGAATATTGAGTTATTGATGCGAGCGACTTAAAGTTGGATATGAAAAGTTAAAGCGATTGTGAAAAATAAGAGCAGAAATAAGTTGGTGTGCTTATGAATGTAGTGAATATAATTGAGTGATGTAGAATAAAGGAAAAATAACAGGGCTTAAAAGAAGAAAAAGCTCTTGTATTTATATTAAAATATTTACTGAGATTAAGACGAAAGAGGGTTTGAGCAATAAAACAGTCTAATAATAGAGCAAGCTGGGATCAAAAACGACAATAGGTAAACAGACAGCTTTGATTGCTTTTTTTAGCTGCAGCGGCCCTCAGAACTCTGCATCAGCACGCATAACAAAAGCAACGTTGCCAGGATAACCTTGTTAAATATAGCTTGTCAAGCCTGAGTCATCACTAAGGCTGCAAGCGCCACTAAAAATAGGTCCCGCACTGACCAATGTGGCACACAGCAGACCATTTTTGCACATGCCACTGGCTACCAGATTCCTAAATCGCTCACTGCCGAACGGGTCGTCCCAGCTTCATGCAGACCAGAAGCTAACAATCCGGCGCGGAGACTGCGGATTAGTCATCCGCAGTCTCCGTGGGCGTCTACTGCTGCTGTCAAAAACGGCAACACAAACACCACTCTGATTGTGGGAGCAGCTCAAAATGTTCTTCAGAAGGAACCAATTTATTGTCAAGAATCAGCAGGTTGTTATTTCTGGTGGCTCACAGGGCTTGGGGCTAGAGTTCGCCAAAGCACTCTTCCACAGAGGCGCCCATGTCACAATTGTTGCCCGAACTGTTGAAAAGTTGCAAAACAGCATCAAGGAGATTGAACCATTTAGAGTCGATAAGTCTCAAGAGCTATCATACATCGATGCCGATGTATCTGTTTATTCTGGGTGCGAGAGAGTTTTCAATTCCTTGAAGAGATCCCCACAAATTGTGCTTTGCTGTGCTGGCTCATCAATTCCAAAGCTATTTCTCGATTTAGACGGCGAGACATTGGAAGATGGAATAAAGGTCAACTACAACACAGCATTGTTTTTTTCTCACGCTGCTTTAAAGAAAATGTCTCAACTGGACCAAGTTCCTGAACAGAAACGCCATATTTTGTTTTTTTCTTCCACAGTTGCTTTTTACTCTTTTATTGGCTATGCACAATACGCTCCATTGAAGGCTGCCATCAGAAATTTGGCTGATTTACTAGGACAAGAATCCATTCCGTATAACGTCAAGATATCTACAATTTTCCCTGGAAATTTCATTTCAGAGGGCTTTCTCGAAGAACAAAAGACAAAACCTGAAATAACTTCGATAATTGAGGGCCCCTCAAATCCAATTTCAGTCTCAAAATGCTGCGAAATCATTCTAAATCAGCTAGATAAGGGACAATCAATTGTAACAACTGATTCAATCACCTACGTTCTACATTGCTTGATGCTTGGTAGCAGTCCAAGATCCCACTATTTGCTTCAATCTCTTGTTGGAATCGTTTTAATCTTTCTAGCCCCACTTTTGAGCTGGTTTATGGATAGACAAGTTTATGATTATTTCAATAAAAACCCTGACTTGGTGCCCCGTTCTCACACTGATAATCCTTCTAATGAATTATCAGTGGAAAACAAAATAGAACAAAAAAAGGAAAAAAAGTTATAATCAATGAATATTTATAAACTAAACTAAACTAAACTAAACCAAGTTAAATTATATTTTATTATGTATAGTGTGCAACCAAAAAATGAAAAACAAGAACAAAAAAACAACCAATAAAAACGATCGTTATTCTTTCTTCGTTTTTTTTTATTTTTTATTTTTCATAATCTCTTTATTTACTTAAATTCTCTGAAGACTCTTTGGCAACATTAAATACCTTGTTAAGAGACCTTTCAGCTTTTTCACCTAATCTTACCCAATTGATTGAATAAAGCCAATTAACACCAGTTATGATCTCGTCATTCCAGATATCCTTTGCAGTCTCAATCCAGCTGGGTCTGTTGGTATAGTCTATTGTCCTTCGTAATGGAGGTTTAGGAGTATGGCGCTCATCTATAATTATCCTTGATTCCTCCAATGATCTTGATATGAATTTCGAATTCTTACGTAGTTCCAATGCTGTCGAGTAAGTAATGGACGAGGTTAAAAGCAAACCTATAGTTATCAAAAAAAGAAAAAAGAAAAGAAGAAAAACAGTAAAATGTTAGTAAATCTGCTTCAATCAAAACACTGATGCTCCTCTCATCAAAACATACCACCTAGAAACCCATGTATTCTTCCTCCCATTCTTTGTATTCGATGTGCACTATCTTCACTATCTTCACCACCTCTCAACACTCTCTTCCTTCTCTCAAAATGACCAACTCTCATTCGAAGAAACGCCGGATCACGTGTTCAATCCGCAGCGATTTTTTGCTTTGATTTTATTTCAATCTGCTTTCTTCAACGAGATTCCACTCCATACTCCTTCGTCTTCCATATCCAATATTTCCAATATTTTCACTGCAAAATGGGATTGATTCGTAGATCTCTTTCAAGGTATGTGGTTTCTGTTTACTCAGGCATTTTGATCTTGATTTTTATCGGGGCTTCTGCTTGATTGGTTCATTGACTGACTGGCTATTTCTTTCATCCGGTTACTTATTTATTTATTTATTTATTTATCTTTTTGGTTTCAACAATTTAGACGTCCTGAACATCGAAGAGCTTTGTTGAGAAACTTGATGACTTCATTGATAGAAAATGAGTCCATCTTCACTACACACACAAAGGCTAAAGAAACTCAGAAATATATGGAAAAAATAATCGGTATTGCAAAACGTGGTAAATACGACCACAAAAATGAAAGAATTGCAAAAACCCTCGTTGGGAGAGATTTATTCAAATTGAAAACAACTATACCAAAATTATTCGATTGTATACTCCCTCGCTACAAAGATAGACAAGGTGGCTACACAAGAATCTTAAAAATCGAAAACAGATTAGGTGACAATGCTCCACAATCTATCATAGAATTTGTCGATGGTAAAAGAGAAATGAAATACTGGCTAACTGCAAGAATCGCTGCGAGATTTCAATTACAAAAGACTCCTTACAATAACATAACTAAAGAAAATATCAAAAAAATATTATCATTTAAGGGCAAGAATGCAGAAAAACAATTCCAAAAAGACGTTGACTTGATGAAAAAAGAATTCTATTCAACTCCTGAAAGTCTTGAGGTTCTTCCATTTGAAGCAACTCAAAAAAGAATCCCTTCAAGAAAAAGTCATAAAAATATAGTCTATGTCACTCGTCCTACTCCTCAAAACTTGGATGTTAATAAAGTAGATTAAATTTTCAGTTAATTTCATATAAAACCTTTCTAAAATCTTTTATTCTTGTATATATTAAATTGACTTTAATTCCTTGCCCCATTACTTTTATTTGTTGAAAGAAAAGAAAAGAAAAGAAAAGAAAAGAAAAGAAAAGAAAAGAAAAAAAAAATAATACAGTAGTTTAAAATTAAAAATAATCAAAATTTTTAAATTAATAAACAGCAAAAAAAAAAATGAAAACAAAAATAAAATTAAAATTAAAATTAAATAAAAATATAAAAAAGTATGTATATAAAAAAAAAATCGTGAAGAACTAAAAGAGAAATAATGTAACTAAATTCAATCAACAGATTTTTGCATGGCGGAAAGTAAAACTTGATTAGATCTGAATGATAAACCTTTGGTCTTCTCAATCACTTCTTGGTAAATACCAGAAACTGGATGATTCATAACAACTGTACCATCACTTTCATTGATTTTAGCATCCATTTTGGAATCTCTAATTAATTTCGCAATCCATTTTTCTCCATCGTCTTTTGATAAATTCAATGATTTTGATAATAAATTTAAGTCAATAGTTTGGTGGACTCTACAATAAACTTCGCTAATCAAATATCTAGCGTTTTCTAAAAATGATCCACCGCCATTAACTAAAAAGAAATCGGTTTTAATAATTGCTGCAACTTCTTCTAATTTAAATCTAGCTTGATCAAAATCAAAATCAATATAAAGAGCCTTGATAAAATCAGTTAATGGATCATTATATTCATATTGTTCTTGTTCAACTACTCTGATTAAATCTTTTAATCTCTTTTGAAAAGTTGGAGATGAATGAGATTTAGAAGATGTAGAAACAACAGCAGCAACCAAATAACGCAACAACCATGGACATGAAGCTTGAATGGTTGATAAATATGATGATGAAAAAAATAAATCACATAATTGGTCCAATCCATTTTGATCGGTATTGAAAAATGGAAATAAAGCCCAATGAATAATCCAGGTTCTATGGTGTAATTGAAGCAAAGGATCCTTCATAGAACGAGAATCGACTACTTCTCTCAATTTACTTAGTTCTTGTAGTGCAGTATCCCATTGCAAAGTAATTATTTCTGAAGCAAACCTACCCCAGGTAGCAAATACAATTAATTCTCCATTGGTAGATAGAACTTTAAAATTGTTTAATAAATCACTTGCCATAACATAATCCCCACGATTATATTGAAACTGACCGAATTCATAAAGAGCATTGATATCTTTTTCACTAATACCATGCTCTTTCTCTAAATATTCCCAATTATATGTTTTATCTTGCTTCAAATGTTCCTGAACCTCCTTTCTAGATAAAATATCTAATGTATGTTCAGTCTCATTTTCTAATCTCAATAGTTCCTTTTCAATAAACTTTTCCTTCTCAACTAGTTCTTTTGGAAATAACTCAGCATCAGGATTCAACAAAGAATATTGATCTTTGATAAAACTAATCATATTTGTATCCTTCAATAAATCATAAATCAACTGGTTTACAGTCTTCTCATCATATAATAACTCGGAGGATTCAATCAAAGGATATATCAAGTGTCTATCCAAAAAAGGAATAACTTTTGGAGTCAAGTCATATTTGCGAGCAATGGCAAGCTCTTTTTCTGTTAAAGGAGACTCTAATTCTGAATTGTCGCTCATTTTCACCACCAATATCTTTCCTAGACCAACACCTATCTGATTCTGCTTTGCTAAATCAAAATTTTCTTTGAATGAAAAAAATTGTGTGAAAATTTAATGCGGTCTCTGATCACGTTTAAAAGAACATCCGATGTAGTTACGGTAAAAAAAGTCCTCGGAACACGAAATCAGATCTTAAATAAAAAAACAAAGTTCAGTTGGTGTTTTAAAGAAATTACCAATCTTTTAACTCATCACTAACAGTTTACACAGCAGACCATCGAATTAGAGATTGAAAATGGATATCAAGATTCAACTGTATTTACAGGAAACTATTTTCAACAACAAACAGCCTGTAAGTTTGGCAGTGCATGCAGTGATACAATTGGTTAAAGACTCACAAGTGGTTACTAACAGGATTTTATTTAGATCAGTTATCGTTGGCTAACTAGAGAATTTTCAATTCATTCTTTAAAAGCTAAAAGAGCATTGGCTTCCTTTTATGAGTCTCATAAAAACAAATTAAAACCAACTTTCATAATAATAGGATATCCCAGTGACTTGTTATCACAGTCCAACTCAACATTGATATCAGTGATTGAATTCGATGACACTGATAACTCTAATATTATTAGCGAAAAGTTGAATGAAAGAAAATCCAAGTTTCAAAAAATAATATCTCTTGAGGTTTACAGTTTATGTTTATTACATTCAAAAATTAATTTAAATCAGATAATAAGTGGAGCAGAAGCAAAATTGTCAAATCTTGCTTTTTCTTCAGATACTAAATACAACTATAATGATTCTAACTTGGAATTGTGGGGAGTGATAAAGGGTTCTCATTTAACAGATAGTATTCATGATACTTTGAATAATAATAAAAATGTAAATAAGGCTTCAAATGCTGAAATATCGACTAAAACTATTAACAATGAAAAGAAACAGAACATCCCAAGTTTCAATACAGGGCTATCTTCTAATTATGTTTCTAGAAAATTAGAGAAAAAGCCTCTTCACTCTATAACTCCAGACACTGATATTAGATCAACTAAAAGATTTAAAACTGATTCTTCTATCAACAATGGTTTAAATATGAATAAAAGCAAGGTAAATACAAGCATTGATAATGTTAACAGATCTTCAGTAAGGAGCAAGACTGAAAATCCACCTCAAAAGTATGTTTATGTTTCAAGAAAACAAGAAACTAAAAAACCCAAAGAAAAAGTTATAGTTTCGAATATAACTGAGAGTGGTGACGAAAGTGATGGATTTGAGGAAATTGGAACTTCTATCAACAAAAATTTCAGCAAGGGTCTCACTAAAATGCAGGAGGAAAGTCTAAAACAAAGAAAAGAACTCGAAACTTTATTTAATGATGATAACGATGAGGAAATGGTGGACCCAGATTTAGATGCTTTTTCACTCGAAAATAAAAATAAAAATAAAAATAAATTAGAAAAGGATATAAATAACAAAAGTATGAATGATGATACTGAAATGATTGAAATAGATGTAGATAATGAACTGTCAGTTGAAAAAATAAATAAGAGTTCTTTCGATAATAAGTCCGGATCAAAGGTGAAATTATTTGCAGAATCCGAACTATTCTCTAAACAAAGAAATATTAGTGGCGAACCAGAAACTATTATAAAAAAAGAACCTCAAATGTCTAATTTTGTGGATGAAGATGGTTATCTTGTAACCCAAGTTGATAAAAGTTCTAAAACAACAAAAGCCAAACCAAAACTACAATCAAGACCTAAAGCAAAAAATAGTGTCAATGATGCAATTTCAAATTCAAAAAAGGGGAAACAAAGCTCTATAATGAATTTTTTTGGAACAAGATAAGAAGTTATTTGATATTTATACTATTAAAATACACAGAATCCTCAAGTTATATATTAGTTTTTTTAAAAGAATAATACAAAAAAAAAGTAGAAACAGGATAGCAATAAATAAATAATTCTTGCAAAACAAATGAGCTATATACAGGGCACAAAAATCAAACTAAAATAAAACGAAAAGTCATAGAGCAATAAAATAATAATATAAACGCAAAAAAAAAAATAAATAAGTGAAGCACCTTCAAGGAACCATTGACTGATTATAAAATATTCAATGAGTATATCTATGATATCCAAATTTCCTTTACTTTTTGCAATAATTAGATCCTTATTTTTAGTAAATTTGATTTTCATTATATCCATCATTTTATTAAATGATAAGTATTTAAAAAGATTAATTATTACTTTGTTTAAAGCCCTTTTTTCAAGAATTGAGGATAGATTCAAAATATCTTTTATTTCCAAGTAATCCTTAAAGAGCTGGGCGTAGTACCATCCATTGAGCATTTGGTGAGTTTGATAGAGTTCAAAGTTAGTAAAGCCTTTGTACTGGGATAAAATTAAGCTGAAAATATCATTATAGCTATACATTATCTCTTTAATATTTTCTACTATTTCTGATTCCTTGCTTAGCTTCAAAATATCTTTTTGGAGCTGAAGGTATTCATTGTACACTTCTTTTAATGCTTTGTAACGTGAAGAGTTTGTGGATATAGAAAAAGGACTGAAACTGGTAAATAAATGGTTGATCAGTTTAAGGGTAAGAAGACATTGACCCCAAATGTCATTGTTTAGAATAGGGCTAGGATTTTCTTCAATTGCATTTCCTGTTTTAGACTTATTAAAATTTGGATCTTGTTGGGGAAGACTTGTGCTGTTTTGTCCAGTTGTGTCATTATCAAAGGGGATTTCAGTGATAGTATCATCATTATTTGTTTTTTTTAGCTAATCCAGAAGCGGAATTTGGGGCAATTTTATTTTTATTTTGAGCTGTAGAATCTTTGGCCACAAAATTTGGATTTAAACTTGAAATGTTCTCTTCAATCTTATCTCTTAAAATAAGTGAACTATTGATTGATTGAAAAAAAGTTTCTGAATTGGGTATATCAAATGCCTGTTTTTTTTTGGAAAAAAACAACCTAATTCGAATTAGGCCTAATTCTGATTTAATTCTAAAATGATTCCCTCTGGTGAATTTTATCTTGGTTAAAGGTTCAACGTATTTGCTGGCGTAATCTTTCAAGCCTTCTTTGATTAAAATTTCTTTGATATTTGTTTTAAAAATTTGACTTGCAATTGATTTTAATACCAACTTTAATTTATTTCTCTTTTGAAATCCCTTTTAAATGGAAAACCATTTAAAATAAATTAGGAGGAATTTAGCCTTAAATTCTTCTTTCAAAGAAAGGGTTAAATTTTTGGCAGTATTATTATTATTTGGATCAGCTGGTTTAGATTTAGTTGTAAAAAAACCAACATTTGCTGAACCACATTGACATTGTTTTCATAAGATCAAAACGCTTTGTATTTAATAACTGTGAACTGTGCAATAGGTTCTTTCAGCACTTCTGGGCGTGCTGAGTCTAGACTCTTTCATCGTTTCCAATTCGCTGTTCGTTCAGTTAAGATCAAAGCTATTTATAAACGTGAGCCCATGCATCATGTATAACAGCACTTCCAGATGTGGTATAAGCTTGCATGCACATACTGGTTCTGATGGAAACCCTGAGGATCCCTGACAATCCAACATTGCTTGGCGCGGCTGCTGCTTGGCACAGCACCAAGCTCATCTTGACCACAAAAACCCCATCCAGCTTTATGGGCCAATCACAATCAACCTCAAATGCCTTCACCATCCGTTCCAAATTGTCAAGACAATAGGCTGTCTCAGCTGATTTCATCCCGGCTTCTGAGTATCCTAACTATAATTGATGATTTATAATTGATGATTTATAATGATTGCGGATTGTGCGGATTGTGCGGATTATGCGGATTTTGAGTGTTTTCTATTTATTTAATCCAAGTGATTCTTACATTTGAAAATTTGTCTCTGAATTCATCGAATCTCTCCTGGGTGTCATGAGTACATTTCAAGTTCACTCATATAGGGCAACTGTGGAAGAACTTTTTGATTGATATGCGATATATACATAGAAATACGCAAATGATTTAGGTTGTTCCAGGCCGAGAGTCCTTTCAAATTTTTTAGCGGGTTCTAAAGCAAATTCAACTTCATTTCGAATTCTCTCTCATCCAGTGATTTTTGCATGAAAATGGCCTGGAAAGTTGAGCTGATTGGAGAGGCACATAACTCACTATGTATTTTTTTAATTTTACTTTCTGATAAACTAAAAATTTTTAAATTCTCGATATGGTTTAAATTTTCAATTTTTGTAATATTATTAGATGATAAATCTAACCAAGTTAAATTCAGCATCTGGACTAAGTTTTCAATTTTTCTAATCTTATTATTTGATAAATTTAATCTTTTTAATTTCTTCATTTGATCTAAATTTTCAATTATTTCAATTTCATTACATGATAAATTTAACCAACTTAAGTTTACCATTTGATCTAAATTCTCAATTTGTTTAATATTATTTTCTGGATAAAATTAATTCAGTTAAATCCTTCATCTGATATAAATTTTCAATTTTTGTTATTTTATTCCTCGATAAGTTTAACCAAACCAAATCTTTCAAATTTCCAACCAAATTTTCGATCTTTGTTATTTTGTTACTGCTTAAATCAATTATCTCCAAATTTAACAATTTTGTGGGGAAACATCAAATTTTTTAATATAGTTTTTCTTTTAAAAATAAAAATTATAAATTGACAAACCCGTCAAAACAGTTTTCAATACTTTCAATACGATTTCCAGATAAATCTAATATTTTCAAATTGGCCATGTTTTTAGGGCTTTCAATATCTTGAATCCAATTACTATTGAGATACAATTCTTCTAAATTCGATAATGCACTTAAATTGTTTATACATCGGATGCGATTATTTGTCGAATAGACACTTTAATTGGTTAAATTTGAATACATTTTTAATCTTTGAAATAGAATTCTTCTTTAAATTTAGCTGGACTAGATTTTCACACCCATTAAAATTCTTAAACATTTTTATTTTGTTCTGAAATAATTTCAAAGTTGTCAAATTATTTGGAAATAACATATTTTTTATGCTTTTAATCTCACCTTTTGATAAATCCATGCGTTTGATTTTCTCGTTCAATTGAATGGTTTCCAATCTACCAAAGTTGTTATTTTCCATTTTGAAGTGTTTTAAATTTTTTAATTTTAACAAACCACATCCGATTTTACATAATTTCAATTTATTCAATTCTAATTTTGTCAAGTTAGAAAAATAATGATCAATATTTTCATCTGAGAAGATATATCGAGGTTCAATTTTAGAAATTTCGGGATAATCACATTTTTTTTCCGACCATCTAAAAACTTTCTGATAGAGCAGTTCATAGGTCAAAACATATCATAGTTGAATATTATTGTTTTTAGTGTGTGTTTCTGAGAAAGTAGTAAATCTTTCATTAGCGATCCACACTTCAAAATATCATCAGTTGCTATATCTCTTGGGTAAGCTGGATTAACTTCAATATATAAAAGTGATCGAACTAGAATTAAAAAAATTTTAACTGAACGGAACATACTGATTATGCTTTGATGATCTTTCAATAGACATTGATTGAGAAAAATCATTTCAAGATATATAGTTCTAGAAAATTGACTCAAATACTCTTTAAAAAGCGTAGTATCTTTGAGGTTCAATATTAAAAGACAGTTTGGGATAATATAGTCAGAAAGATCGAAACAACCGGGAATAGAAAGCCATGATTTTAATTCAACGGTTCAAAAAATTAATTCAAAATATGTTGCTTTAACAATTGGATTGGTGGATGAAATAAACAAAAATATGTGTTTAAAAGGTATCTTGGACAAAATAGCGTTGAGGATGTGTAGTGGTAGTCTGTCTAGTATATTTTGTCTGGTTTTCTTGATAATTTCAAGGTCCATATTGAATACAACTCTTTGAATTTGACACATATATTAGAGATGCGTATTTCAAAATAATAAACGCAAGTATGCGGAGCGTTTAGTACAAACCCGCATTGACATGCATGAGCCTAAGCAAATAAATAAGCTTTTAGTCTCTTTTTTTGACAGTTACCTCAAATATTCTATTGTTTTCTGGTTTTTTGAACCAAGAAGTCATTCACTGGATGACACTAGAGCAAAAAATGTCTCTGATCAACTGATAAAAAATAATCTGTTGGTATAGAAGTCTGTTTGCTAGCAGGTTCACACCAACAACAATTCGCTTTAGACAGTCAAGTAAATTCCATAAGTTTTGAAAATAGGCAGATTGTCATCGATCAATCTGCGATATTCAATAGGGTTGTTACCATCGAAAAGCCAAATGTTTTATTTTCCATATCCAATGGATTCCAGCAATTAAATAATAATATCGACAAGCACATCACTGCTTTAGTTAAAGGCGGTGGTGATACCCAAGTGAAATTGATAGGTCTAGACTAAGCGGAAATGAAAGAGTGTATGCTACTATTGAAAAGTGCAAACCATCTTTTTGCCAATTTTAAACCATTTACTCAAGGAAAAAAAAATGAAAGATATCAGCAATTTAAAACCATTGTTGATTTATGCGACAATTGAAGATACAATATTGTCTCCCTTTTTAAGTATGGTAATCCCAAATTAAATGTTAAGGTTATCATTGAGAGTTATAACACAATATATGATAACATCTGTGTCAATTACAGACCATTTACTTTCTATGAGCTTTACCAAGTACACACCCTTCTAGGTGGTTGGTACTACATACAACTCTGCCAGTTATATTGATACCGACATGTTAATGAGATTACCAGCCACCATCGACAATAATGTTTTGAAAGCCTTAATAAATCTATTAAAGCGTCTATCATTTAACAGAAAAATTGACTTGTTATTTTTAAAATTCAAAAATACAGGAGAAGTTATCATTATCGGTAAGGAAGGCGGTACAGATTTCATTGACTTAATTATGAGCTAATCGTTGGATTAACTTATTATAGAAAACAAGTTCTTTTGCTACTTAATTTGCTGTGAAAAGCACTTTCACACACCCGATTATTTAAGTATTGATATGAACAGCATTATTTTTGACTGGCAGTTTTTAATTTCCTGCCAATGATGAATGCAATTTTCCCAAGTAAAAAATCATTAAACTGTATCATAATCTATTAAACTAATTGAAAGATTTTGAGATTCCAGGTAATGTTCAAACAGTTTTTTTGAATCACGACAATTTTCAGGAGTTCTCCGTTAAGCCCAACAAAACCTAGCATAAATTAAAATTACTTTATTTGGATCATAGTCTATCGATAGATGAAAAAAATCAAATAAATATTTCTCCAAGTGTTCAAAAGTTGCATCTCCCACCTACATTACACTGATTGAAACATAGAAATATCCAGCACTTCAATATCCATTTATTGTTTGATTTATGAGTTGATAAGTTTATCTTTCAGAGTTGGCCAACTGTTACACATTTTTTCCATAGCATTTAAACAAATAAATAAAAACTTTAACTCATTTTCTGGAACGTGACAGCTTCTTCCCAATGGGGAAGTTGTTTGTTCGACACGAAAAATGTAAACACGAAAATCAAAATTTAATTCAAAATTTGGAGTCATTATTGTCTCTTGAAATTGATTTCTAACTCCAACAACTGAACAAACTCGTTTGGCATCACAACAATACCACAATAATATCATACAATACCTTCAAATGTCTGCTTTTGATGTTGCTGAAGTCTTCTCGGCTCGAGTTCTTCCTGGTGAGGACACTCCCAATACATCTTTCTCCAAAATAATAAAGGCTTTTCGTTCGTTCATTCTTGAGTTCAGATTGGATACACAGTTCATCTACAGAGACCAATTGCGAGAAAACTTGTTGCGGAAAGAGTATAGTCTTGTAGTAGATTCGGATGACTTAATCCAGTTTAATGAAGAGCTACAAAAGAAACTATATGACTCTCCTGCCGAAAACATACCACTTTTTGAACAAGCGATCAATGAGATTGCCAAAAAAATCGCATATCTATCCTCTGATGAAGTTCCAACTGATTTTCCCAATTGCCAACTAATCTTGAAGTCTAATGACAGCTTGATATCAATAAGAGATTTAGATGCCTTTCATATTTCAAAAGTCGTTCGCATCGCTGGGATAATAATCAGTGCATCTGTTCTAACATCCAAACCAACTTCGGTTCAAGTGGTTTGTAGATCTTGCAAACATACCATGAAAATTGCTGTCAATTCTGGTTTTGGATCAGTAACTTTGCCCAATAGATGTCTAGCTCCTCCCAATCCTGGGTCTGAGCCCAACCAATGTCCTTTGGACCCTTATGTCATTGTTCATGACAAATCGAAATTTATCGACCAGCAAATCCTTAAATTGCAAGAAGCTCCAGACATGGTTCCTGTCGGCGAGATGCCTAGACATATTCTATTATCTGCTGATCGATACTTGACCAATAAAGTGGTTCCAGGCACAAGATGCACCATTGTGGGCATTTATTCTATATATCAGTCAAAGGTGAAAAATGTGCAAGCTGTTGCAATTCGAAATCCGTATTTGAGAGTGCTAGGTATTCAGACTGATGTTGACCACACTGCCTCTGGAAACGCTATATTCACTGAGGAAGAAGAGGAGGAGTTTATAAAACTATCTAGAAAACCAAACCTATATGAATCCTTTGCGAAATCCATTGCTCCATCCATTTATGGCAATGATGATATCAAAAAGGCTATAGCGTGCTTGTTATTAAGTGGATCGAAGAAAATACTTCCTGATGGAATGAGATTAAGAGGAGATATAAATGTTTTACTACTAGGTGATCCAGGGACAGCTAAATCACAATTACTAAAATTTGCTGAAAAGGTGTCTCCAATCGCCATTTACACATCAGGTAAGGGCTCGTCTGCTGCAGGTTTAACTGCTTCGGTTCAAAAGGATTCAAGCACAAGGGAGTTTTATTTGGAAGGAGGTGCAATGGTTTTGGCTGACGGCGGTGTAATTTGCATCGATGAATTCGATAAAATGAGAGACGAAGACAGAGTTGCAATCCATGAAGCTATGGAACAACAAACAATATCTATAGCCAAAGCTGGGATTACGACAGTGCTAAATTCAAGAACATCCGTTCTAGCAGCCGCTAATCCAATATTTGGTACTTATGATGAGATGAAAAGTGCTGGTGAAAATATCGATTTCCAAACAACCATTTTGTCTCGTTTTGATATGATTTTTATCGTAAAGGATGAGCATAATGAACAAAGAGATATCTCAATAGCTAACCATGTTATGAATATCCATCTCGACAAAGTTCACCAAGTTGAGGGTGAGATCCCCATTAATAAAATGAAAAGATACATTTCTTATTGCAAAGCTAAATGTGCTCCTAGACTATCTGAAGAAGCTGCTGAGAAATTAGCCTCGTATTTTGTGGAAATTCGAAGTGAATTGAGCAAACGTGAAAGAATGAAAAGTGAACGTTCTTCGATTCCAATCACAGTTCGTCAACTAGAGGCCATCATCCGTATATCTGAGGCATTAGCAAAACTTCATCTATCACCAGTGGCCACTGAAGAACATGTTGATGAAGCAATACGATTGTTTAGAGCGTCTACAATGGATGCTGCTAGTCAAGGAAGCGAAACTAGAGCCGAGTTGGCTTCAGAGGTGTCGAAAATCGAGGACCAATTAAGAAGACGATTACCAATTGGTTGGTCGACATCGTATAAAACTATTAAAAAGGAATTTGTCAACAATAAAGGGTTTTCTCAAGAAGCATTGGATAGAGCTTTATACATTTTAGAAAAGCACGAAACCATTCAGTTCAGGTTTCAAAGGGCCAATGTTTTTAGATGTGGTGCGTAGTTTTTTTGTTTTTTTTTGTCTTTTTTATTTTATTGGATTAGATTTTCGTTTTATATCAATTAATTATGGTTCACAAGAACTGTTATTACTTCATTTACAATGCCTTAGTTGTTCTAGTTTTTCTGGTTTTGTTTTCCAATACTATATTGTTATTTGAACCAAAAATCCAAACTTACAGCTCAAGCTGAAATAAAAATTAAAAGTACGTATATTTTAAAAAATAGATAATTTATAATTCCTAAGAAAATGTTTTTGTTTTTTGTGCTAGTGGAGCAACTATTACAGTAGCCCGATGAAGAATATTCTCAATTCTCACTTTCAACGGTTTAGATTCACAAACAACTGTTAAGTCAAAATAATCAATAGTGGCCTCGATTTTATCTATTTTAATTATTCCGCCAGATTTATCTTTAGTTTCATGAAACCAATCCCCAAATTGAGCTCTCAAAAAACAGGATATTCTGTGTATTCTGGTTCCTATCGAGTAGTCAGCATGTTGCAAAATCAACTGTTTACTTAGTATCTCAGGCATATCAAACTCTTTCTTGAATATTTGTTTCTTGTCTTCGATTTCTGTTTTCATTTTCAGTTCATTTTCTGTTTTCATTTTCAGTTCATTTTCGTTTTCATTTTCATTTTCATTTTCATTTTCATTTTCATTTTCAATTTTAATTTCATTTTTATTTTCAATTTTAATTTCATTTTCATTTTCAATTTCATTTTTTACTTTTATTTCTTTTTCCACTTTAACTTCATTCCCCACCTTTATTTCTTCTACACCTTCTGTTTTAACTTTTGTTTTAGCTTCACTGTTATTTTCAGTTTTAGGTTCGTTTTCATCTTTTAAATCAATTTCAATTTCCGTTATTTTAGAATGATTGTATTCTTCTTTTTTATGATGCTCATCAACGTGTTCACCATCATGACCATGAATATGATCACAAGATTTTGAAGATAATTTGACGGAGGAAGGAAGTGAATCTATTGATAATAAAATTGCAATTACAGAATCAGCTAATGAATCGTTTATAAGACCGCTAGTCCATTGTATTGTGCAAATTTGATCTTCTAAAACAATAATAATATCATCCATTACTTTTAATTCAAATTCATTTTCATCATCATTTAACACTTCAACATAGCCAAACATTTGAATTAAATGCCAATAAAGTATATCTGGACCACAACTTATTCTTATTGTTTGTCTTTCTTTAATCACCGTGGTAGTGAGTCCAGCATATTCTCTAAGATCATCAACCCTTAATAAGTTAAGATCAAAATTCTTAGATACCAAGACGCCAGATACAATTTCGTTTTCTTTTGGTTTAACTTCGGCTATTGAGCCCATTGCTTTTGCAATTTTAATGCCTTTGAATTGTATGTGTAATCTATCACAGTTTCTGGGATTGTAAACTTTGACTTCTTTTTTAGTGTTTTTAAACTTATGATATTTTGACAACAAAGCACTTTTTAATCTACCCATTGGGTTTGATTCACCATGAACCAAAATAATCGATTTGGGATTGACCAACTCGATAAATTTTGAATTTTGATTGAAATCAACATGAGCAGCAAAGGATATTTCTTCAATTTTTATTCTTCTTGTTATTGATTCAGAGCCTTTGACAGCGGGAATTATATCAGGTTCAGATAGTAGGTTTTTAGCCATAGTTCCTTCAACTGAGTAACCAGTCATTAAGACGAGGTTTCTTTCATCTGGAGCCCATCTTTCCAACAATTCTCTTGAAACTCCATTTTGTAGCATACCAGGACTGGCTATTACTACACAGGGGCCCAAATCATCAAATTTATCTAAATTCTTAATGCTTTTTATATATTTAAACTGAAAGGGATTTGAGTTTTGAGATCTAAATTTTTTTCTAATATCATCATTCATCATATTAATATAAGTTTGATATACAGACATACATTTTCTTGTTAAATTCGAAGCGTAAAAAATACCTATATTTTTCAAATCAGGATTTTCAGCCCAATATTGATCTAAGATTAATAAAATTTCCTGGGCTCTACCAAGAGCAAAGACTGGCAATAAAATTTTGCCAGAATTATTTATGGTATTATGAATTAAGCTCGTTAATCTCAATTCTTTTTCGTCTATCTGTTCATGAACTGCAGTACCAAAAGTAGATTCACAAATTAGTAAATCGGGTCTATGAGGAGGAACTTCAGCGGGATTTAAGTGACGATCTTTCTCCCTGGAGTAATCACCAGTAAATAAAATCTTCAAACCACCAATTTCTAAGAGATACATGCAAGCACCAAGAACATGACCAGCGTGATAAGCAGTGAACCTAATACCATCAACTTCAATCGTCGAGTGATAGTCAATTGGTTCGATTCTATCATAAGAATCAGTCAAATCATCGTCGGTATATAGCGTAGAGGAATTATTATTATCACCGATTGAAGTCACTCTAACAAAATCACTTAATAGCCAACGATAAATGGCCTTTGTTGGATGAGTCATAAATACTCTTCCTTTGAATTTGGTATGTTGCATTACATAAGGTAAAGAAGCAGCATGGTCAAGATGAAAGCTTTTAAAAAAATAAATTAACAAAAAACAAAAAAATAAATAATGAACGAGTAAATAAAATAATTTTATATATTAGTATTCAGTCACTTTAGGTAAAAAAAAAACAATTTTGAGATAGAGGAAAATATAATGATATGTTTGAAGAATTAACAAAAAAAATAATGAAAAAAATAATAGTTCAACTGACTAAAAACACCAATCAAGTATGAAATTGTTGTGTAATTTAGTTGAATTATAGTTGAATTAGACGAACACATACTGACTAATGAGTAAAATATCCACTTTTTCCAAATCAAATTCATCATAAAAGGGCAAAGAGGCCATACCTGAATAAGCAGGATGAATTCCAGCATCAAGCTGCAATAAGAGGAATTAAAATATTAGTAAAGCTGGAAATTAAGAATTTTCTGTTTTTGTTTTTTGTTTTATTATCTTGTAAATTTAAAATTATTTTGATTTTGATTTGATTTTTATCTGATTAATGCCGATATTTGAATTTTAATTTTCGGGCTTCAAACAGCTTTAAAGCCAAATCAACTCACAGTTATTAACACTCGATGGAAATACATACCATGACAGTTTTGCCTTTGTACTCAATTATATGACAAGATCTTCCAACCTCATTACCACCACCCAAGCAGTGGAACTTCAATAAATCACTTTCATCAACCTTTGAGCAAACAAAAAAGAGTTAGTAATCAATTGTATAGGGCATGAGAAAAGCAGTAGAATTAACAAAACATACAAATTTATCTTCCTTCTCATCGAAATTAGACATTGTGATGAAGCGTTGTTAGGATTTATCAAGAATGCAATTTTTCATTGACCATTCTGTGCACTTTTGCCTCAGAAAAAGAAGCAATTTTTGAAGCTCAGATCCGGTCAAGTGACTGCGATCCACTGCACTGGAAAACGTGAGTTGCTGCACTATATCGTATAAACATGTATGTTCATATGCATGTGTATATGTATGTAGTGCATATCGTGTCCATAAGGGTGGTTTAAGTCTCACGAAAAGAATTGTGGTTTCAAAGCAAAGGAACCATTGTTGGTTTTATCTCCACCTAAAGTAAAAGATCAGAAAGCCCATAGATAAAAAAAGGAAACAATGGGACTGGAAATTGTGCTATAATAATCTATAATTTTTATATATCTGACTTAGGTATCTATTGGAGGGTTGGCCGAGTGGTCTAAGGCGGTAGACTTAAGATCTACTGGGAGATTTCCCGCGCGAGTTCGAACCTCGCATCCTTCATTTTTGTATTTTTGGCGTATGTATCGACATGGTAAGAAGAAAATGGATGCTACACATTGCAAAATCAGACAAATAAATAAATTAAATCAACCTCTCTAGGTTATGCTTGATTTAAATTCAAGACTTGCCTCAGCTTGCTCAGAATCAAGGTGTTTGGAGTTGTTTTTTTAGGTGAGTTGAACCAGTATTTTATGTAGAGTGGAAAAAGGAATTAAAAAATAGTAAAAAATATGCTATGAAATATAGGTTGTAAAATGTTAAAGAGGCGTTAAATAAAAACACATACAACTGCTCTCAGAAGTTCCAACTGTTGCTTGAGTTATATGACTCTGGTTTGATCACTGCGATCTTCATCATTCAGTTCTTCATTATCCAAAAAAGTCCCAAAAATGCCATAACTTTCTGCTCCAATCTCGCTGTTTTCAGAAAAATGACATCCCTAAGCTATTTTCTATTCCTGAATATATTATCATCTATAGATAAAGGTGATGAACGATAAACTCTGTCCAGTCGAAACCAAAAAGCTATTACATTGGAACTTTTTATCCAATAAATCTCTATATGATTCAAATTATCATTCAGCTTTAATTTTGCTTTTTTGATATTATTTTGCAATATCAAATTTTCAATGATTTTATATCCCTTGGCAACTCAAATGATATAGAACCAAATTCATTGAAACTTAAATCTAAAGTCTCTAATTTTTTTAAAAGGTTAATTTTATGGAATTTATTGATTGACTTAATCCTATTATTTCTTAGAATCAACACTCTGAGATTCTCCAGCAAACCAAGGTTTTTTGGACATTTCAATAAATTCCATGACAAATCAAGATGAAATAGCTTGAACCCAAAGGGTTCAAATCGGATTGAAAAATTTTCAAGATAATTTTTTGAAATAAATAGCCGTTAAAGACTATACGGAATGAAGATATTCCTCAAGTTTTTTATTTTGTTATTATTTAAATTAAGATATTTCAAATTATGTTTCTTATCATTAGGCAGTATGGAAAAGTTTTCAAGACAATTATGTGCAATATTTAACTATTGAAGGGTATTTGGAATTAAAAAATGTTTCAAGCTTGTTAATCTATTATGACTCAATCCAAGATATTTTAATAATTTAATTTCTGATATATCTTCAAAACAAAACTTTTCAATTTTATTGAATGAAAAATCAAGTCTTACAACATTTTCTGGAACATGAATTCTTTCTAAATTTTTTTGAATCGATTATGAATAGCCCGAAGTTTTACTAATTTTTTAAATTTTCCTTTTTTTAAAAAATAACTGTCCAACTTGTTTCTACATATATTTAAAGTCTCAAGATTTTCTAATGCATCAAAATCATTTGGTAGCCTTTGAATCCCTATAAAACTCATGTCCAAGAAAGTTAAAGATTTTAATAAAGTTAAACTACCAATATCATCAATTTTATTTCCAGAAATAATTAAAGTTTGAAGTTCCACTGAGAAATTTCATTAAAATTTAAGTCCGAGTTTTGAAATTTTGTTGATTCTACTATACTATTAATTTTGTTGATTCGGTTAAAGCTAGCATTTAAATAAATTAAATTATTATTCAACTCTTTCAAACAGTCAACATTTTCTACTTGATTGTATGAAAAATCTAGATATTTTAAGTGTTTCAATGAAGCTAAAAATTTAATACTTTCAATTCTATTACATTTTATGTTTAATTTAGATAGGTTGACCAACTCTTTCAAATTTGGAATACATTCAAGATTATTGGAACTTAAAACCAATTCTTTTAGTCCAGGTAATGCACCAATAACATTAATATTGATAAATGAGGTTAAACTGCTGTGCAAATTCAATTTTTGTAACGTTTTTAATTTTAATAAAGGTTCAATTTCAAAAATAGAATTGTTAGCCAAATTTAAACTAATCAATTCAAAGTCTTGTTTAATATTTTCAATATCAATTAGCTTATTATTAGATAGATTTAATTTTTTTAGCTTGGCGAAAGACGAAATTTTGGGTATAATTGACAGTATTGAAGCAACTGTACAATTAAAAGTTGAAAACTCCATAAATGAAAAAAATCCTTTTAAAAAATTCATATTATTAAATTTAAAACCATCATCACAATGTAGCTTATACAAAAAATTACTTCTCAATTTGTTTAGATAAAGATTTCGCTTTCTATGAAAAAACAAATTTCCACTGCAATGTGATTTATATTTCAAATAATATTTAAAATTTCTTGTTGGAAGTTTTGTTAAATCGTCTGAAGTCCTTGCAAAAAAAAGTTTATTGAAAAACCAAAATTTGTGACAATCATCAAATATAAATCCCTTGAGATGAATGAAAAATGATTTCAAGTATTTTGAATGCAAAATAATTAATAATTTCGAAAAAACTTCAAGCATTTCATATTAAAAATTCAAAGTTTTCGCATTAGCAATAATATTAAATTTAATTTTTTTTAACATTTTTGTGTTTAATAGAATAGAAGTTAATATTTGACTCGAGTCTTGATTTAAGTCTGCAATATCTAAATTTATTGTAAGATTATTAATAATTTTTATATGTCCAATATTAATTTTATCAAAATCTTTAATATTAATTTGAACCCAAAAATCTGGCACCTTTAAAAAACAAAACCCAACTTCTGAATAAATGTTTTTTGGGTTAAATAGCTTATAAACAGCATATTTGCTACTGGATAAAGAAATGAAATTAAATAAAGTGAGAGTAGCAGCGATTTGAACAGTTTTAATTTTGGATAAAGTAAGTAGCAAACAAAGATCTTCAGGAAGATGATAAAAAGTCTTTTCAAGTAAGTCAACAGGAAGTTGATCCATTTTAAATAGTATATGATGAGAGTCGATTGTCATTATTATATCAGATAGGAATTCAGCAACGCAATATTCTAATTGCAAAAGTGAAGAGTTGAATATTTATAAGTTGAAGATCCAATTTAATCAATTAAATAATTTTTCATCATTGTTTCATAATAATGAATTCACTAAATCTGTTTCAAATTGCATGTTTTATTGTAAACATAAGCGAATCATCAACATTAACCATTATTATGCCTTGCAATATATTTGTTTTCATTTGATCTGTTTCGGATTATATCTTGGGATCTTATAATGTTGGTAATACGAAGCAAAACCAGTTCTATTATATTTTTGCCCATTTTATTGACGCTGCTTCAGCAAAGAGGGACCCGCAGGCCGAAGGCGTGAAAGTCAAACACCAATAGAACTTCTATGAACCAAATTCTCAATTCTGTGAAGCTCAGGCAAAACATGAGTTTGGACAGAGTAAATCCTACAGTGAATCGACTTGATCTAATTACAATTGACAATATTAACCCAAACCATTCAACCATTATAAATGGTTAAAACTAAATAAAAAAATTAAATGGTCTCTAGCAGGATCGAACTGCTGATCCCCGCGTTATTAGCACGGTGCCTTAACCAACTGGGCCAAGAGACCTTTGTGATGCTTCTGCAAATTTATTAAAATATTTGTAATATTACTATTGTGACTAATTATTTGTTAAAACAATTGATTTTGCCTTGCTGGGTGAACTATTTGTAATAATCTTTAATTTAAAGTTACATAGCAAACTCATTTGTCGTAATATTTCATAAAAGTAGACTGAGATCTTGGGTATCATAGAGATGTAAAGAACTCACTATATAAATCCAAGAGATTGTGAAAACTCATTTCAAAGACCTAATTTGACCAAATTTACCCTGCTTTCAACTTTTTGGATAAAATAAAAACCACAAGATTAATCTTTGCGCTTCTTTCTATTCTTCAATTTGGAATAAGGATTGCAAGAATAATATTTTAGAGTCGTTTGTCTTGATTATGTTTTATAGTTAGACAAGCCAAACCAATGAGCATGAATTTCAGTGATGTGTCATAACTATTGAAGACGTGTTTGTTATTTGAAGTATTACTTTCTCAGGTCCGAGATAAACACTCCCGCTTAATCGCATCCTAATTGTTGATTATTACAAATTGACTAATAGTTTTGATGCTTCATGCCCGGGATATATGTTATATATTTCAATATAAGCCATTATTTTTACAATCCTTTTGTTTGTTTTTTTAAAAAATAACTGCTAAGAGCACACCTTTGGGGGTTCTTGCACGGTGCTGTTTATTAGTCCGTATATAAACTACAAAAACTGTCCCTGTAATTTTACCATGGATGTGAGAAAACCCTAAAGGGAAGAAAACTCACATCAAGGACGAATGAATATAAATAAGAAATAGATGTTATATCGTGTTTACCTTATAAATTGCCATACATGGGTAACAAAAACATATAGTGTCTGTAGGCCCTCTTTTGTTCCTAGGTAATTGTGTATGATTGCAGTCTCAATACAAACGGTTAACACTGTAGGATTTTGTGCTTTGATTCTCTCTTTAATGTCAAGTGGGCATTTGTTGTAACGAATCCATGATCATATAAAGGTAGAGAAGTATATCAGAAAGAAAAACGTAGAAAAGATCGCCAGCCCTTCTTATAGGGAACTGGGTTAGATCACAGAGCGTCACGGGAGCAGACCGGTAACAAATACCGAGGAACCAACAGGAGCCAAATGTAGACATCCGACAGGCTCACAACATGTTTTAGAGGAATGGTGATTTCTGTGTTACAAAAATAATTTTTCATTGAGTGTTGAGTAACTTAAAGAGATAGTGATTTTCGTTTTGTTTCTTGCAGTGGTGTTCCTCCAAAATGGATATATTGGAATTTGTCTTTTGTATCAATTGTTAGCCCGTTTTTCAATGCCCACGGAATAAGCTTGTATAATAGTTTTTGTATCTTCTACCTATTTTTTTGAATTGTTCCTATTGTGTATATAAAAATATCATCAATGTATGTTGTTGAATAAAGTTTGTTTCTTCTAATGAATTCGTTGATTTTTTTACAATCCTAAAAATTTGTCCATTGTAGTTTTACGATTTAAGCTCTTAGTAATATTAGTAATACGGCTAAAGCTTGACATTCTAAGGAAGGTCTCTTGGCCCAGTTGGTTAAGGCACCGTGCTAATAACGCGGGGATCAGCAGTTCGATCCTGCTAGAGACCATTTAATTTTTTTAGTTTTTGCAGAAGAGGCTAGACTTTTTGGCATATTATTTCATTCCATCAAGCTGTTCTCTTTCTGCCTCTTGTGCTTCCTCATCTCCTTTGCTCTCTGCTTCTACGATGATTACTTTACTGGCTGTGAAAAGGCGTCTCAGACAGTACAAGCACTTCATTGTGTTCATTGTTATTTTGTTTATCATCTATTACCTCCAGAAAATAGGTCTGGAAGAGTACGACGACTCCTCCTGGTACACTGTCAATGACTACAATCAAGTTGAGCCCTTCACAATCAAAGACTTGGACATCAATGGCTTTTACCAAAACTATAATCAGGCAAACACCAAAAATAGGGCCAATTCCAATCCTAAAACTCCCAAAAAGAAAAACCATGAGAATGTTCACGATAGTAGTGCGAAACTTAAAAATAAGAACAACAATAAAAACATCAACTTGAGTGATGAAGAAGACAAGATATCAGATCTACAAAGAGACTTACAAAGAGAAAAATCCTTCAGAAAAAAATTAAGCCAATTGACTAGTTCATGCGAAGACTACTTAGATTACTCTCAAGAGATTCATCCTCCTTTATCAAATGGCAATTTAAAATTACCATTTCAAAGACCCTTGAAGGAATGTAGAACTTTTGCTTCCACTGCTGTTGAAAAAGTGATTCTGGATCTTTTACCAAAATTCAAAAATCAAGATTTAGCTAGACTCTTTGAAAACGCTTTTCCTAACACCTTGGATACAACTATACTATATCATAAAAATGTCCAACCTTTTGAAACTTTTGTTGTAACCGGTGATATTCATGCTCAATGGTTAAGAGATTCAACACGACAGTTATCTGTCTATCAACCTCTACTTAAATATGATTCTCTTTTGAAGAAATTGGTTAAAGGTGCAATCAACACTCAAGCAAATTATATTTTGGCCTCTCCTTATTGCAATGCATTTCATCCTCCAATTAATTCTGGTGTTAAAAGACAACCTTCAACTATTGATACTGTCTTTCCAGTTCCCAACTGGAAACATGTCTTTGAATGTAAATATGAACTAGATTCATTGACTTCCTTTTTAACTCTAACAACTGAATATTTCCAAAGCACAAATGATTACTCCTTTGTTAATGATAATTGGATTGATGCCTTTGAAAATATTTTAACCGTACTAAAAAGAGAGTCCTCTCCAACTTTTGATTCAAATGGTAATCTATTACCATTTTATTACACCTTTCAAAGGCAAACTAAATCCAGTTCTGAAACTTTACCTTTACATGGCACCGGCAATCCTGTTAATTTCAACACAAATCTCATTAGATCTGCTTTCAGACCAAGTGATGATTCAACTATTTTTCAATTTTTGATTCCATCAAATGCCCATTTATCTGTTGAGCTATTAAAAATATCTAAAATATTAACCAAATTTGAAATCTTGAAAAAACATGCTGATATTTGTGAAAAAATCGCTTTGAATATTAAAAACTCAATTTATAATTTTGCTGTTTTTAATCATTCCTCAGTTGATAATGACGATAACAATCAGGTGTTTGCTTATGAAATTGATGGATATGGTTCAGCTTTATTTATAGACGATGCAAATCTCCCTTCTTTATTATCATTACCCGATATGGGATTTTTGGATAAAAATGATCAAATTTATTTAAATACGAGAGATCTAATTTTAAGGAACTCAGGCAATCCGTATTATCTAAAGGGTAAATATTTTGAGGGAATTGGTGGTCCCCATATTGGATTGAACAATGCATGGCCAATGTCTCTTTGTGTTAGAATTAGAACAACTGATAATGACGAGGAAATTTTGAGAAATCTTGATTTGTTATTATCCACAACTGGTGGTCTAGGTTTAATACACGAAAGCATTGATGTTAATAGTAAAAATGGGCTAATCTATACAAGATCTTGGTTTGCATGGGCAAATTCTGAGTTTGCTAAAACGATTTTGGATTTAGCTGAAAGAAAACCTCATTTAATTTTCAAGGATGAATATTCAAGCACTCTGTATAGTATTCATGATAGTTTTAAAGATAATAAAAATAATAAAAATAATAAAAATAATAAAGATGGTGATGATAATGAGAAAAAAAGTAATGAAAAATGAAAAATGAAAAATATAAAAAGGGTGAAATAAAGGAGTATTATTTATTAAATTTTTTATTTATTCAATTAGTATAATACTTTTAGTTAAAGATTTGTGTTATTTTATGTATTTAAAACTATTTTTTTATTTAATTTTGATTAGTAGTTAATTTTTATTTCAATTCAGTTATAGTTAATTCTATTTGGCATTATTAATTTTTTTTTT